GTCGCCCTTCAGAAAACTCTACAGGCTCTTCAGGAGAAAAACGACGAGCTTGAGAGCGCGCTTGACAGAAAAGGCGAAGAGATCGATACTCTACAATCGAGAATCGACGAGCTGGAAGACGAGAAGACGGAATTGCAAAGGGAGTTAGGATCGGTGAAAACCGATCTCGGCCTTTTGCGAAAGGAAGTTGATAAGCTGAGAAAGGCGAAGTCAAGCCAGGATCAAACTAATTTGAAATGTAGGCAAGAATACGATGGGCTCCGGAGAACCTTGGAAACAACGAGGGAAGATCTGGAAAAGAAAACAAAGGAGAGCGAAGAACTCAAGCAGGAAGTGAGGGATATCAAGGAATCGCATCACAAAAGCCTTCTTCCTTTCGGGCTAGGTGCCAGAGCGCATTCAAAGCCCCCTCCAGCAATACCGAAAACCAGCGGAGAAGCATTGCTACACTTAGGCGAAATGTGTCGTCAACTACAAATCAAGCTTTATCGGTTTGTATTTCCCCGCACAAGTTTTAAACATATCAATTACAAAGTTGATGCCATTCACCGCCATTTAAAGAAGTTCCAAGACTCCGATGCTCAGAAGATATGGGAGTCGATCCAGGAGAGGTTTCACTGGGATGAGACTCACGAAGAGGCAGTCACCTTACTACAAGACACACGAAACATCGAAGCTCATCCAGAGATCTCTAAGGATTCGCTTCAACGCGCCATAAGCATAACCGCTCAGTCAAACAACTTGGAAGACAACTGGCTATCAACGAAGCTCCTACAAGAACTGCTTAAAATCTGGGAGACTGATCTGTCTCAGTAAAACATTACTTTATATAAAAGAAATTGTGTGATCGGAAGAAATTACTTCTCCTTGAAATGGGCGCACAGGCCTCCATAGTTATGTAAGTCATGTAGGTAATGTTCCAAGCTAATGTAGACTGAGTTGATTACGTAGTTTGTATCAGGTGAGAATTTGTCGTTTCGTAGCTAAGCATTAGGATAACTGATACCAATACTTTTTCTTATTTTTCTTCCTTCTACTTATTGAAGTTGAAATCACAAAGGTCTATCGACACAAGGACGCTTTCGCTTTGTCCTTCGATGCTATTAATTAATGTTACGTTGCAACACTTCAACTTTAGCCATTTCTGTTTTAGATTTCTTAGATATTTAGACTTTGTGTGTTAATTTGGGTCAGTTCGTAAGGGAAGTGAAGTGTTGGATTCGTTTGCACATCCGTGGGCCAACAAACTATATTCCACTAATTCAACTTAATGGCTCTAAGTTCGATCGGTAACTATACAGTCAGTTAGGATTATGTTCATTTTAGCACGCGTGATGCAGTACTGAAACAAAGGCTAACTGAACCTCTTTTGATTACAGTTTTACCTTTCAAAATTGGGTTGATTGCAATTGATTTTTAGGGTAAGCTCATCGCAAAAAATCTACAGAGGGAGTCTAGAGTAAACTTAATGCAGGGTAACTCTTATATACTCGCGCATGTTTATATTCTCTTTGCGAAGGATTCTCTGGTAATAAGAAACTAATAAGTGGAGATCTATTGAAACGAAATTGAATTCACTTTTCTGTCGATTTGTTATGGTGTCTAAAAAATTTCTATTATTCAGACTCTGTTTTGAAATGGTCGATGAAGAAAGTCAATCGTTAGATTCAAGGAATCTATATGGTTTCGCTGTTGATCTCTTATGCGCTTTAAGTGTATTGATTTAGTCGGTTTTTTGATGCCTCTTCCATTACATTTTCTGAATGTATATTGTAGTCTATAATCGCAAAATGATACATTCATTTGTCGATGGCACAAACAACATAGTCATCGTTTTCTCTGTTCCCGAATAAAGGTATTCAAAGCACTCGTTTCTCAAAAATTTGACGCTTCCCATGTATTTTCCACAATTTCCTGTTATTTGAATTGCTACACCCCAGATTTGTTCTGATTGGTCGGGCAATGGCACCACAAAATAACGCAAGCGCTAAGGAATGTGCTCAGCTAAGCATGCAATTCTATCTTTAGAGAGCATTCAGTTTCCGAACGGAATACATTAAATCGTAGTATGATTTACAAATCGATCACATCCACTCAAAGAACAAAACGGATAAAGCATTAAAAAAATAACACGAACACCACCAGGGCATCAGTTTCTTAGAAATCGGTTATAAACTTCCGTTTGCGCATGGTCGAATATCTGACAAGAAATAACTGCGAATAAAATAGATCTAACGCTTACGTTTCATATATTTTTGGTTAATGATGCCAAGAAAGAAAAAGTACTTGTTGTGGCGACCTATAGCTATAAGGTCACAATACGGGTAAAAAAGAAAACATTTTCATCCTTAGATACGTGTAGTTTTAACACAAACAAATCAGTCACATCTCGTTGCAAAGCATTTGAATGGAAGAATATGCCGCGTCGTGAATTATAAAGAGCGACTACCTGCCTACCGTCACGCTGATGCTCATAACTCTGACTCAGTAATAAAGGGATGAGCCGAAATTTTCGTACCGTTTCGGTAAAGCCCTCAAGACGAGAATCGTTAGACTTGAGACTGATAAAAAGGACGTGAAAGACGAGCTGAAGTTTGTTACAGTCAAGGTTAGCCGAATGGAAAAGGATATCAAAGAACTGAACGAAGCAAAGGTCGCCCGAGAAGAGTAAAACATGGAACTACTAGAAAGTTTTAGAAACGTTAGAGAGTAGAAGCCAAGTATTGAAGAAAGAGATAAAGGAGATTCGAGAATCACAACACAAGGAGGCGCGGCCGCCATCAACAGTAACCCCTAGAGCAGGAGGACGTCAAATGCTCACTCCTCCATTACCAAGCACCTTCAGAGAGCCGATTTGGGACTGCATGCCTCGCTCACCTTGGCAGAGCTGTGCCGACAGTTCCAGAACAAGTTGTATAGGATAATATTCCCAAATTCGTTTCAGTCAAACAGAAACTACAAGATAAAGAATATTTGGCGCGATTTGGATAGACTGTCTCAACTGGAAGAGGAAAAGCAGTGGTCAAGGAAAAAGTGGGACGGGGTGAAACAAAACTTGAAATGGGATGAATGTTTCAAAGATGCCATGAAAGCACTCAAGGAATCCCGAAATGTGGATGCCCATCCAGCCCCTTTGACGGAGGAAGGTCTTGCAAGAGCCGCAGAACTCATGGATTCCAAAGGTAACCTGAAAGGTTGGCTGTCTTTAAAACGAGTGAATGAGCTGATAACTATGTGGAAAAATGTTCAGACAATGGAGTGAGTAATTTCTTTGCGCTTTATTGGTATTGCTGAAATAGTTTTAAATTCAAATTTTGCTGCTTTATTACCAAGGAAGGATGATAGAAACATGTGACTTTAATCCTAGTTATCGTCCATAGGACTGAGTTTCACCTAAACGGAACTATGCTTCACGCGCTGATATATAGAGACGAAGATTTACAACGTCACAGTGTTTTATTTCTTCATTACAAACACGACTGCCCATTTTCTATAAGGGATAACTATTTGAACTTCATATCAAATGTCTCACTTGGGAGTTAGAAAAACAATGTCAATTCTCGATGAAAATCATCGTCAGATGTCAAGTTCAAATTTAGCCTACTTGTATGGTCGCAAACATCCTTTTTGCTTAAGGATTGAAACATTCAATAAAATTGAATCGAAATGCTCGTAACAGAATAAAACTGTGGCCTTAATGGAGTTAAAATGCGAAACCAGTTTTCTTCTCTCATTGATAGAATCGCTGATTGCAGTTATACTGTGGCTTGCATCAGAACTTAGGTCACATGTTCATTGTATGGATCGCGGAGAAATAGGGGAAATCGAAAATTCCATAAAATATCACTGCTTTTACTTAGTGCTGAGCCTCGTCGTAAAGTAGACGATTCTACTTCTTCTGGTTTTAATATTTAGTACAGATTTAAATACTAATGCTGGACTTCTGTTTTCCGGTAGACAGAAATAATTCTGTTCTAAGGGTATTTCAACTTTCACTTTCTGTCAAGTATTCTTCTGTTTCAGGATTGAGAAAGATAAAACCATGTTAGCTCAAAATCACAAATTCCGCGAGGCCAATTAATCCACTATACACGGGAATTCACAGAAGTAAAAGACAAACTTGACCTGAAACCATATTCATTGCTGTTATCCATCTTATTTCCCTCGAATCGCGCACAAAGAACTCACATGGATAAAGAAAACCATACATAGTGAAAGACTATAAAAGTAATAACAGCTTTTCTTCATTGGTTCTGTGTACATCCCAAAACGAAGCTTATTTATCTGTTCAGCTTCGAAAATTATGCTTTCATCTGAGTTAATTCTAAGAGTAAGTGGATTTCAGAGAAATTGAACTCTTGTTGAATTGCATAACGCAACAGGTCACTGTCTTGTTCATTTCCGTCCTAATGCAAAAATATTAGGAATTACTTTTGCAAGATACTTCATTATTGTATCAAGCGCTTCAGTGTCAGAGTAAAGAAGCATATTTTATTCAAAGGTGGAAAATATGGGAAACACTTATGAGAATTTGAGGAAAAAATTAACCACGCGGCCGCAATTATCTTGCTCACATGTAAACTAAGTAAGACTGCTGATTAGCATCTAGATGAAAAATATTTGCTATTATTTTAAACAATTGCATGTTCGACATAGTATGACAAGATAATGACAGTTATATGACTCCCCCGTGCTTTCTTTGTCAGAGACAATCCATGGCTGCGAATTGTTCCAAGGTACAATTTGAAAAAGTCTGACCCTTAGGGAACGTACCGAACCAGTTTCAACATTTAATCATTAAAAAATACTCCGTTTTAAACGATGCACAAATTATATATATATATATATATATATACATGCGTGCATAAAAAATACACCTACGTAACTAGTGCCGCTTTCCCGTTTCTGATCCCTACGGACGTACACCACGCTTTCCACGAAATCGACTTCAACCTTAATTGCGCAATAATCAATTTTTTGATTGATGACTGACTCACTTCGTGCTGACATAATACTGGGGTAAGATATGGAAAGACTTCTTGTAACGCATTATGGAAAAAAAGACAATAAGAATAACACACAAGAAGAAGGTTTATTCAAACGTAGAAATTCTATCAACACCTCGAGATACTGTTAACTACCTTCCCCTCTCTAATTCTCGGAAACATCAATAATTGATCCACGCTTGCATTACGAGGTGACCTTGGTTGTGATTGGTTCATACCCAACACGCCATGGAAACACCATGCTTCATTAAAAAAAGATTGGTTCTGATTGGTCTAGTAATGGCAGACATCAGTTTCTTAGAAATCGATTATAAACTTCCGTTTGCGCATGGTTGAACATCTCACAAGACATAACTCAGGATAAAATCGATCTAACGCTTACATTTAGCAATCTTTGGTTACTGATGCCAAGAAAGAAAAAAATACTTGTTGTGCCGACCTAAGGTCATAATGCGGGTAAAACAGAAAACATTTTCATCCTTGGATACGTGTAGTTTTAACGCAAACAAATCAGCCTCGTCTCGTTGATCTCGTTGCAAAACATTTGATTGGTCGGAGAAAATGCCGCGTCATTAATTATGAGCGAGTACCTGCCTATCGTCATACTGATGCCCATAACTCTGACTCGGTAAGAAAGGGACAAGCCGATTTTTTCGTACCGTTTCAGTAACGAAGATCGCCGTTTGCATCCTGCCCACAATCATGATCATGGATGAACAATTCCGGCAGATTGCACCGAGCGAAGACTTTGATCCAATGGCGGCTTTACTCGAGGTGAATGTCACTGTAAGAGGAGAACTGTATCAAGAGACTTCGAAATTTATGGTTGATGTAGCAAGTTCTTGTTCGTAGCCTTTAAGTTGGGTAAGGAACTTTGTTGAGTGATGGCTTTGACCAAGACTAAGGAAATAAACGTTACAATTATTTCCAATAATCAAAGCAGTCCAACCATCACGAATGATGTCCCCCTTTCTAAGTTGTTTACCACGTATCGAAACTGGAATCTCTTACGTAAATCGACAAAAGGACAATTCCCCTCTTTCACTCGATTCCATTGTCTGGAATTAATCTTTCAATGTAACGTTTCAATATACAGTATTTCCTCCAATAACACCTATTCTCTAAAAAGGCATCCTACCCCGAATAAGCGCCTTCCCCCCCCCCCCCCACCCCCCCCCATCATTGGCCATAATTTCAAATGAGCGTCCTTCTCGAACAAGCACCCCTTCCTCTCTAACTTGCTTAAGTAGCAGGGATGCATTAAAATCCTGTTTCCATTTTCACTTTATACATAAATTTTTAAGCTTCAACTACAGCGATATCAGTACAGATGAATAATAAGCAGCTCAATAAATTAAGCGCCCTCTTTCTAATAAGCTGTATTCCAGCAGTTTAACTTAGTGGTCCAGACTTCGTTTGAAAACGCGTGGCAAGTCAGGGTTGTGTTCAGTCGAGCACGCTTGGTGCATAAATGGCATAAATACCTGAAAATATAGTTTTATTCTCGCTATGATTTTATTGGCCACAGCGAGTTGATGCATGTGGTTGTGTCAGAATGACAGAATTCATTTCTCTGTAATTCGTTTTAATATCTAAAAGCTAGTGCTACTCAAACTTTGCTTTGACTCGTTTGATTACGAATGCTTATCATCAAATTCTAGGAGTCTTAATGGTTTTTCAATAGATCCCATGCGCTTTGCATGGGTACAAATTTATTGTATGTGTTTGGGTGTCTTTTTTTTTTTAAACACAGTTCCGTTAAGCTTGCTCTCAAATTTATTTTTTCCTATAATGACATAGCGAAAGTTTCATTTGGATTTTTATGGCATAACAACGAATCTATGTTTTTCTCTACTTCCAAGATATTGGGTGGTGGTTTACCCATTGCCTAGAAATCTGGATGACGCGAACACATTTGAAAAACGCCACCTGTTAGATAAAACACTTAACACCAAGAACGGTTGTGATTTGTCCGGCAATGGTATCCCATGACGACGCCGCACGAAGCAAAGAGTCTAGTCAAGCAAGTTATATTTTCAGAAACCTGCCTGATCACTGTCACCCTCCCATTTCTAGATTTCCTTTCTTTCTTTCTTCTTCTTTTTTTCTCTCTTGCTCTTGTTCTGAAAAAGCGAAAAAAGCAAAAGGAAATCATTGAAAATGTCTTTCACCTCGAAATGGTACTCATGGTTATGCTCGTCGTTCCCCGAAAATATATTCATGCCGTTGTTTCGGCTTGCATCGAATGAAAATGTTAAACAGCGCGACACTAATTTCTTGGAATTAAAAGCAGCTTTATATCGACGCAGCGCATATTTATAGGATGATATATTTTTAAACAAAAGAATGACGTCATATAACATGATTCGTGAACGTTTCCTCCCTTCCCTTTCACCTTAGGGGGAAGGTACGGCTACACATTGGCTAATAAATAGCCACCCTGTTGGCACGTGAGCTCGAACCACTGAGGTGAGTGATTCTTAGAAATTACGTAAAATGAACTTTCTCCTGAGCACATGCGCAGATAGAATCTTTCAAGAAAGAGAAAACGGATTGTGTTGGCAACAGAATAACCTTCCTTCGAATAACCTTCGAATAACAGTCCCTCTTTTTGCCAGTTAATCTATATAACAACATCCACGACAGTTGCAGTTTGACTATCATGGAGTTAAGTATGACTGATGATGAATTCTCACAGTTACTTCCAGCAAGTGATCTTAGCATAGGAAGTATAACAATTGTTGAGAGAGAAGGACAGCTAGTCGGTGAGAGAAACCTACCAAGGGCCGTAAAAATCCACGAGCATGGCGAAAAGATCGAGAGCCTTGAGAAGGAGATCAAAAAGAAGGATAATGAAATCGTCGCCCTTCAGAAAACTCTACAGGCTCTTCAGGAGAAAAATGACGAGCTTGAGAGCGCGCTTGACAGAAAAGGCGAAGAGATCGATACTCTACAATCGAGAATCGACGAGCTGGAAGACGAGAAGACGGAATTGCAAAGGGAGTTAGGATCGGTGAAAACCGATCTCGGCCTTTTGCGAAAGGAAGTTGATAAGCTGAGAAAGGCGAAGTCAAGCCAGGATCAAACTAATTTGAAATGTAGGCAAGAATACGATGGGCTCCGGAGAACCTTGGAAACAACGAGGGAAGATCTGGAAAAGAAAACAAAGGAGAGCGAAGAACTCAAGCAGGAAGTGAGGGATATCAAGGAATCGCATCACAAAAGCCTTCTTCCTTTAAGGCTTGGTGCCAGAGCGCATTCAAAGCCCCCTCCAGCAATACCGAAAACCAGCGGAGAAGCATTGCTACACTTAGGCGAAATGTGTCGTCAACTACAAATCAAGCTTTATCGGTTTGTATTTCCCCGCACAAGTTTTAAACATATCAATTATAAAGTTGATGCCATTCACCGCCATTTAGACAAGTTCCAAGACCCCAATGCTCAGAAGAAATGGAAGTCGATCCAGAAGAGGTTTCACTGGGATGAGTTTCACGAAGAGGCAGTCTTCTTACTACAAGACACAAGAAACATCGAAGCCCATCCTGAGATCTCCAAGGATTCGCTTCAACGCGCCATAAGCATAACCGCTCAGTCAAACAACTTGGAAGACAACTGGCTGTCAACGAAGCTCCTACACGAACTGCTTGAAATCTGGGAGACTGATCTGTCTCAGTAAAACATTACTTTATGTAAAAGAAATTGTGTGATCGGAAGAAATTACTTCTCCTTGAAATGGGCGCACAGGCCTCGATAGTAAGTCATGTAGGTAATGTTCCAAGCTAATGTAGGCTGAATTGATTTCGTAGTTTGTATCAGGCGAGAATTTGTCGTTTCGTAGCTACGACTACGATAATGGAGCTGAGCATTAGGATGACTGATAGCAATACTTTTCTTATTTTTCTTCCTTATACTTATTGAAGTTAAAATCACAAAGGTCTATCGACCCAAGGACGCTTTCGCTTTGTCCTTCGATGTTATTGATTAATGTTACGTTGCAACAAGTGTTGGATTCGTTAGCACATCCGTGGGCCAACAAACTATATTCCACTAATTCAACTTAATGGTTCTAAGTTCGATCGGTAACTATACAGTCAGTTAGGATTATATTCATTTTAGCACGCGTGATGCAGTACTGAAACAAAGGCTAACTAAACCTCTTTTGATTACAGTTTTACCTTTCAAAATTGGGTTGATTGCAATTGATTTGTAGGGTAAGCTTATCGCAAAAATCTACAGAGGGAGTCTAGAGTAAACTTGATGTAGGGTAACCCTTATATACTCGCGCATGTTTATATTCTCTTCGCGAAGGATTCTCTGGCAATAAGAAACTAATAAGTAGAGATGTATTGAAACGAAATTGAATTCACTTTTCTGTCGATTTGTTATGGTGTCTAAAAATTATTATTATTCAGACTCTGTTTTGAAATGTTCGATGAAGAAAGTCAATCGTTAGATTCAAGGAATCTATATGGTTTCGCTGTTGATCTCTTATGCGCTTTAAGTGTATTGATTTAGTCGGTTTTTTGATGCCTCTTCCATTACATTTTCTGAATGTATATTGTAGTCTATAATCGCAAAATGATACATTCATTCATCGATGGCACAAACAACATAGTCATCGTTTTCTCTGTTCCCGAATAAAGGTATTCAAAGCACTCGTTTCTCAAAAATTTGACGCTTCCCATGTATTTTCCACAATTTCCTGTTATTTGAATTGCTACACCCCAGATTTGTTCTGATTGGTCGGGCAATGGCACCACAAAATAACGCAAGCGCTTAGGAATGTGCTCAGCTAAGCATGCAATTCTATCTTTAGAGAGCATTCAGTTTCCGAACGGAATACATTAAATCGTAGTATGATTTACAAATCGATCACATCCACTCAAAGAACAAAACGGATAAAGCATTAAAAAAATAACACGAACACCACCAGGACATCAGTTTCTTAGAAATCGGTTATAAAGTTCCGTTTGCGCATGGTCGAATATCTCACAAGAAATAACTGCGAATAAAATAGATCTAACGCTTACGTTTCATATATTTTTGGTTAATGATGCCAAGAAAGAAAAAGTACTTGTTGTGGCGACCTATAGCTATAAGGTCACAATACGGGTAAAAAAGAAAACATTTTCATCCTTAGATACGTGTAGTTTTAACACAAACAAATCAGTCACATCTCGTTGAAAAGCATTTGAATGGAAGAATATGCCGCGTCGTGAATTATAAAGAGCGACTACCTGCCTACCGTCACGCTGATGCTCATAACTCTGACTCAGTAAGAAAGGGACGAGCCGAAATTTCCGTACCGTTTCGGTAACGGAGATCGCCGTTTACATCCTGCCCTCAATCATGATCATAAATGAACAACTCCGGCAGATTACACCGAGCGAAGACTTTGATCCAATGGCGGTTTTACTCGAGATGAATGTCACGGTAAGAAGAGAACTGTATCAAGAGCGCGCAAGAATCAACGAAATGGTTGTTGGTCAGCACATTGAGGATACCGAGTCTCTCAAAAAGTAGATTGATGAGAAGAACAAAGAAATCGATGAGCTACGTAAATCAATGGACAGTCTGGTGGAGCAGAATCAAGAGTTAAGCGTGGCGCTTAAGTCTAGAAACGAGGATATTAAAGCCCTCAAGACGAGAATCGGTCGACTCGAGACTGATAAAAAGGACTTGGAAGACGAGCTGAAGTCTGTTACAGTCAAGGTTAGCCGAATGGAAAAGGATATCAGAGAACTGAACGAAGCAAAGACCTCCCAAGAAGAGAAAGACATGGAACTACAAGAAAATTTTGACAAGGTCACAGGCAAGCTAGAGAGTAGAAACCAAGTATTGAAGAAGAGATAAAGGAGATTCGAGAATCACAACACAAAGAGGCGCTGCCGCCATCAATAGTAACCCCAAGAGCAGGAGGACGTCAAATGCTTACTCCTCCATTACCAAGACACCATCAGAGAGCCGATTGGGAACTGCATGCCACGCTCACTTTGGGAGAGCTGTGCCGACAGTTCCAGAACAAGTTGTATAAGATAATATTCCCGAATTCGTTTCAGTCAAACAGGAATTACAAGATGAAGAATATTTGGCGCGATTTGGATAGACTGCCTCAACTGGAAGAGGAAAAGCAGCGATCAAGGAAAAAGTGGGACGAAGTAAAGCAAAAGTTGAAATGGGATGAATGTTACGAAGATGCCATGAAAGCACTCCAGGAAAGCCGAAATGTGGATGCCCATCCAGCCCCTTTAACGGAGGAAGGTCTTGCAAGAGCCGCAGAAGTCATGGATTCCAAAGGTAACCTGAAAGGTTGGCTGTCTTTGAAACGAGTGAATGAGTTGATAACTATGTAGAAAAACGTTCAGACAATGGAGTGAGTCATATGTTTGTGCTTTATTGGTATCGCTGAAATAGTTTTAAAATCAAATTTAGCTGCTTTATTACCAAGGAAGGATAATAGAAACTTGTGACTTCATTCTAAGTTACTATCCATGCGATTGAGCTACAGCTAAAGGGAACTATGTTTCACACGCTAAAATATGGAGACGAACATTTACAAAGTCACGATGTTTTATTTTTTTATTTTAAACTAGATTCTATTAGGGATTATTAGACTATTTGAACATTATATCAAATGTTTCACTTGGGAGTAAGAAAAACCGTTTCGATTCTCGATGTAAATCATCAACAGATTTGAAGTTTAAATTTAGCCTAATTGTGTGGTCGCAAACATCCTTTTTGCCTGAGGATTGAAATGTGAAAAAAGTCGAACCAAAATGCTCATAACAGAATAAAACTGTCGCCTTATCGAAGTTAAAATGCGAAACCAGTTTGCCTCGCACGCTGACAGAATGGCTGATTGTAGTTATACCGTGGCTTGCATCAGAACCTCGGTCACAACTGATGCGCGGAGAAATAGGTGACGAATTTTAATGCGAACACCGAAAATTCCACGAAATATCACTGCTTTTACTCAATGCTGAGCCTCGTCTGTAAAGTAGGCGATTCCTCTTCTTCTAATGTTAATACTTAGTACAGATTTAAGTACTCATGCTAGACTTTTGTAAGCCGGTAGACAGACATAATTCTGTTCTAGGGGTATTTCAACTTTCACTTTCTTTCAAGTATTCTTCTATTTCAGGATTGAGAAACAAAAAACAATGTCAGCTCAAAATCGCAAATTCCGCGAGGCCAATTAATCCACTATACACAGGAATTCACTGAAGTAAAAAACAAACCTGACCTGAAACCATATTCATTACTTTTATCCATCTTATTTCCCTCGGATCGCGCGCAAAGAAGTCACATCGATAAAGAAAACCATACATAGTTCAGGACTATAAAAGTAATGAGTTTTTCTTCATTGGTTCTGTGTACATTCAAAAACGAAGCTTATTTATCTGTACAGCTTCGAAAATTATGCTTTTATCTAGTTAATTCCAAGAGTAAGTGGATTTCCGAGAAATTGAACTCTTGTTGAATTGCATAACGCAACAGGTCACTGTTTTGTTCATTTCCGTCATAACGCAAAAATATCAGGAATTACTATGGCAAGATACTTGATTATTTTATCAAGCGCTTCACTGTCAGAGTTAAGAGGCATATTTTATTCAAAGGTGGAAAATATGGGAAACACTCATGAGAATTCGAGCTAAAAAATTAACCGCACGACCGCAATCATCCTTCCCACATGTAAACCGAGTACGACTGCTGATTAGCATATAGATGAAAAATATTTGCTATTCCTTTGAACAATTGCAATTTCTGATACTCAGAAGGATGGTCAACCGCTTTGAAATGTGAAATGGCCAGAAACTACTCGTCACAGAAGTCATCCGCCCAATTCTCAGAAACATCAATTACTGGTCCACGCTTGCATCACGAGGTGACCTTGGTTGTTATTGGTTCACACCCCAACACGTCATTAAAACACTATGCTTCATTAAAAAAAAAGATAATCACATCAATCATATGTGCATAGCTCTGATGACCCAAGTAAGGGACGGCTTCTTCTAAAACATAACATAAGATTGATCTGAGACCTTGGAGATTTGTTTCAATTGTATAACAGAGTCGAAATAATGTTAAGAATGCGAGCGCTGAAAACCTAACCGCGCCCTAGTCGTTTCTTAAAAGTATCTTTAGTTGTTTCTGGATAACTTTGGGCTAAGATATCATTTCCATATCGTGAATTTTCCAAAAAAAATTCACCCCTATTCACAGACCTTCCGCGATGCGACTGGCCAAGTGAGAGACGACTAGAGAGGGGTCAGGGAAGTCATGCCCGAGGCCGGAAAAGTGATACATTTTTTACGATATTTTTTATTGTGTTGCAGTTCTCGATTAATACATAGGTCTAGCAAGATCGTGAACAGTTAAATTATGAAATACTTGCAAAGACAAAAGAGGATTGTTTGCTATTGTTCGTAGGAGCTTTCAAGTACCAAGGTCATGGATCGTAACAGTTTTTGATTAAGTTTCTTTGTAATCCATTAATTTACGTTTTGGATCATTTGCTGATTTCTAAAACAACTTGCCGTAATTGAAGCTATTGAATATCTTGGAGACTAGTGTGCCCACGGACGGTTTTACTTTGTGTATATGTTGAAGTGAGTTCAGTGAAAAGAGCCTCTTGCTGAACCAAGCACACAGGCTTCGAAGTTTATAGTTGACGTACCAAGTTCACGTAGGCTTAATTTATTTCGTAGCCGTTTAATTGGGTAAGGAACTTTGCCGAGTAATGGCTTTGACCAGGATTAAGAAGATAAACAATACAATTATTTCCAATAATCAAAGCAGTCCAACCATCACGAATGATATTCCTCCTGCGCACTTGTTTAGAACATATCGAAACTGGAATCATTGACGTAAGTCGACTTATGGACTCTTTCGCTCCTTCACTCGATCCCATTGTTTGAAATTAATCTTTCAATGCAACGTTTCAATAGACAGTATTTCCCCGAATAAGCGCTCACGCTCTTAAAGGGCATCCTCCCTCGAATATCAAATAAGCGCCCCATCCCCTCTAACCTGCTTAAAACAGCAGGGATACAAGAAAAATCTGTTTCTATTTCCACTTTATTTATAAATTTTCAAGCTTCAACTACAGCGGCATCAATATAGATGAATGATAAGTACCTTCTTTCCAATAACCTGTATTCTCTTGTGGTTTAACTAAGTGGTCCGGAGTTCGTTTGAAAACTGTGTAGCAAATCAAGGTTGTGTTCGGGCGAGAAGCCTGGTGTAAAAAATGGCATACACACCTGGAAATGTAGCTTGATTCTCTGCATGATTTTTTTTGGCCACAGTCGACTGATGCATGTGGTTGCATCAGAATGACAGCATTTATTCTCTGTAACTCGCTCTAATATCTGAAAATCTAGTGCTACTGAAACTTTGTTTTGACTCGCTTGATTACGAATGCTCGATATCAAATTCTAGGAATCTCAATGGTTTCGCAACGGATCCCATGCGCATTGCATAGGTATGAATGTATTGCATGTGTTTGGGTGTCTTTTGTAACACAGTTCCTTTAAGCTTGTTCTTATATTCATTTTTGCCCATTACGACAAAACGAAGGTTTCATTTGTATTTTTGCAGCATAGCAACGGAGTTATGTTTTTCTCTACTTCCAAGATATTGGATGTTGGTGTACCCATTTGAAAATATCATCTGCTAGGTAAACACTAACTACCAGAAACGGTTGTGATTTGTCCGGCAATGGTATCCGATAATGATCCCGCACAAAGCAAAAGAGCTTAGTCAAGCAAATTCTACTTTTAGAAACCTGTCTGATGAATGACACCCTCCCATTTCTAGAATTCCTTTTTTCTTTCTTTTCCCTTTTTTCTCCCAATTGCTTTTTCTCTGCAGAAGCGGAAAAAGGGGAAAAATGACAGTATCTTTCATCTTGTAATGGTACTCATGGTTATGCACGCCGTTCCCCGAAAATATATTCATGCATTTGTTTCAGCTTGCATCGCATAATTTTTTTGCCAAAGCAGACTGATGCATGTGGTAGCGTCAGAATGACAAAATTTATTTCTCCGTAATTCGCTTTAAAATCTAAAAACTGGTGCTACTCAAACTTTGTATTGACTCACTTGATTATGAATGCTTGCTATCAAATTCTAAGAAAATTTAATGGTTTCGCGACAAATCTCATGCACATTGCATGGGTATGAATTTATTGCATGTGTTTGGGTGTCTTTTCTAACACAGTTCCTATATTTATTTTTGCCTATTACCACGAAACGAAAGTTTCATTTAGATTTTTACAGCATAACAACGAATCTATGTTTTTCTCTACTTCCAAGATATTGGATGTTGGTTCACCCATTTCCTACAAATTTGGATGACACGAAAAGATTTGAAAATATCACCTGTTAGGTAAAACACTAAACACCAGGAACGGTTGTGGTTTGTCCGGCAATGGTATCCCATGATGATGATGCACAAAGCAAAGAGCCTAGTCAAGCAAATTCTATTTTTAAAAACCTGCCTAATCATTGACAAATTGAAGAAAAATTTAAACTGAAATACAATTTTTATGACACCCCATATATGTCGCAAATAAATCGCAGACTGTGACTAAGAAAAGCTTGTTTTCCTATATGTAATTGGCGATGATGTTCGACATTATGGGATTGCGTATAAAATGGTGTTCAACCAACTCAACTACACTTAAACCTTTGCAAAATCGCAAAAGATCTGCATTTACACGGTAATTTTCCAAGAATAACAGATTCTCTTTTCCATATTTCCTTTTTTCTTTAAAAGGTTAACCAAGTCAAGTCACGTTACATCAGCCATGAATTCTCCAGAGCAATGATTCTATAACGGTTTAAGATGGCCCGCCGCTATTTTCTTTTCCAGAAAATATTGTTTGACCCTGAAATCTGTTAATATCTTATTTTATTCGCACCGAGTTATGATGCTTTATGAAATCTTCAAATGTGTTATTCCGAATGCCAAATATTAAAGAAAGCGGTTTACGTTTAAATGCCGCAAATTCGACTTCTCCCGGCTGCCATGGATATCCATATATACCTTTGTTCAAAGTTTACCATAATTAGAAACGTGTGGTCCGTTGCCATGTTGGTGTTCCGAGCAAATCCTGTGGGATTTGAACGCTTATGAAACAATTTCTTGTGTCCCTCCAAATTAACATACCTATTGACCACGTGAGTGAATTGCACTCTGCAGTAGTTGCGTTGCTCATGATAAAACGCAGATTGCAGACCATGCAGACTGTGCAGTCCGCGCAGACCGTGCTTACTATGCAACTTTTTTGTTTGCCTTTTTTAAAACTGTGATTTACATAGGATTATGGTGTATACACCTTTTCCTTACTCTTTTGATAACATAGGAACTGTTTGCAAGTTTTGGACACCACATGATGGAATTTCACGAGGTTATTTCGAGCTCTCGCTACCTAGCAAACAAAATCACAGGTTCAAGTTTCTCGAGCTCATGGAGATAAGCCCTGCTATTATTACTTCCATTTCTTGTCAAAAGGCAAATTAGCTCCTAAATGATTAAAAATCATCTGAAATAATATCAAAGTATAGAAAGCCTTAGCATTTTAAATAACTGTAGTTTATCAGTATGAGTTAACGTTTTGTTCGAATGATCAGCTCTATATCAATGCTTTCCCATGGTTTTATTTTATTGTACTAAAGTTAAGAAGTTCCAAATTATCTGACATGCCTTAGAAAATTAATTACCTAGATACATACACACGCCTCAACGCTACTTCACTTAAAAACATCTTCGAAGCTTATTCTCTACATATTTGAGGTTGTTTTGAAATTCATCATAAAGGCGTAATTGCTTAAACGCTTATTAAGATCAGGCTGTTAAGAAACGAAATTCTAGGAAATTGGTAAGATCATCACCAGAATACCTGTTTCTCAGAATTGGCCATGAACTTCCGCTTGCCGTTAGGTGCAATCATAAATCTAACAAAGAATATCTGATAAAGTATTTGAAGTAACGCGTAAGTATAAATTTATTTTTGGTCAGTGGAGACATAGGTAGTAAATTGGAGGTTCTAACAAACTAAAGCCTATATACAAGTCAAAGAGGAGAAAATTATCAACCTTGGCCATTTGCATTGTTTATGTCAACTAATCAGCCACATGTTCTTGCTGCAAGACATTTGATTGGTTAAAGAAAACGCCGCGTCACATTGCGAGTGGGTCCCAGCTTACCGTTACGCTGACGTACACAAGTTTCACCTGACAAAAAGTGAAACCAGATTTTCGCCGAACCTTTCGCCAAGGTACACAACCGAAACATTACGTCTTACCCGCAGCCATGATTATAGACGACCAACTTCGACAACTTGCGGGTGAAGATTTTGATCCAAGATCGATCGGATTTCCCATAGGAATCACTTTTACGAGAGAAGTACATCATCAAGAGGGAGCAAGAATAAGCGAGGCCGTAATTAGTCATGGCGAAGACATCGAATCTCTCAAAAAGCAAATCGATGAAAAGGACAAAAAAATCGAAGAACTAAACGAAGCCGTGGAAAATTTGCAGGAGCAGAACCAAGAGTTAACTGTGGCGCTCAAGACCAGAAACGAAGAGATCCAAGCCCTTAAATCGAGAATTAAGAGACTCGAGAGCGACAAGAAAGGATTAGAGGACGAGCTGAAGTCTCTCACAGTCAAAGTCGGTCGAATGGAGAAGGATATCGAGGAACTGAACGAAGCAAAAATTGCTCAGCAAGAGAAAAACATGGAATTACAAGAAAATTTCGACAAGGCCACGGGCAGGATGGAGAGTAGAAACCAATTAATGAAGAAAGAGATAAAGGAGATTCGAGAATCACAACACAAGGAGTCGCTGCCGCCATCAGTTGCAACCCAAAGGGCAGGAGGACGTCAAATGCTTACTTCTCCATTACCAAGGCACCTTCAGAGAGCCGATTGGGAACTGCATGCCTCGCTTACTTTGGGGGAGCTGTGTCGACAATTCCAGAACAAGTTGTATAAGATAATATTCCCGAATTCGTTCCAGTCAAACAGAAACTACAAGATGAAGAATATTAGGCGCGATTTGGAAAAACTGCCTCAGTTGGAGGAGGAAAAGCAGCGATCAAGGAAAAAGTGGGACGAGGTGCAAAAAAAGTTGAAATGGGATGAATGTTACGAAGATGCCATGAAAGCACTCCAGGAAAGCCGAAATGTGGATGCCCATCCAACCCCTTTATCGGAGGAAGGCCTTACAGCAGCCGCAAAACTCATGGATTCCAAAGGTAACCTGAAAGGTTGGCTGTCTTTGAAACGAGTGAATGAGTTGATAACTATGTGGAAAAACGTTCAGACAATGGAGTGAGTCATATGTTTGTGCTTTATTGGTATCGCTGAAATAGTTTTAAATTCAAATTTAGCGGCTACTTTATTACAAAGAAAGGATAATAGAAACATGTGTCTTTAATCCTAGTTATCGTCCATAGGATTGAGCTTCACCTAAAAGGAACTATGCTTCACAAGCTGATATATAGAGACTAAGATTTACAACGTCACGATGAAAATGTAAGGTCGCAAACAATATGTTTGTTTGAGGATTATATCAAAAATAATTTGAATCGAAATGCTCATAAGAGAATAAAACAGTTGCTTTATTAGGGTTAAAATGCGAAACCAGTTTGCCTCGCTCGTTGACAGAATGGCTGACTGTAGTTATACCGTGGCTTACATCAGAGCTTAGGTCACATGTCCGCCGTATGACGCGCGGAGAAAAGATGAAGAATTGTGTAAAATTTCACTTTATTTATCTAATGCTGAGCCTCGTCTGTAAAGCAGCCATTCTACTTCTTCTTTTGATAATATTAAATACAGATTTAAACACTCATGCTAGACTTCCGTTTGCCGGCAGACAGACATCACTCTGTTCTAGGGGTATTTCAACTTTTACTTTCTTTCAAGTATTCTACTATTTCAGGATTGAGAAACGAAAAGCCATGTCAGCTCAAAATCAAAATTTCCGTGAGACCAATTAATCCGCTATACACGGGAATTCACTGAAGTAAACGACAAAACTGACCTGAAATCACATTCATAGCTTTCATCAATCGTCGTTCTCTCGGATCGCGCACAAAGAACTCACATCGGTAAAGAAAAACATACATATTCAAATTATAAAATTAATGACAGCTTTTCTTCACTGTTTCTGTGTACATTCCAAAACGAAACTTACTTGTGTGTTCAGCTTTGAAAATTATGCTTTTGCCTGAGTTTATTTGAAGAGTAAGTGGATATCCGAGAACTTGAACTCTTGTTGAATTGCATAACGCAGCAGGTCACTTTCTTGTTTTGTTTTTCGCTTTATTCGTCATACTGCAAAAATATCAAGAAGTACTGTTGCAAGATACTTGATTATGGTATCAAGCGCTTCACTGTCAGAGTAAACGGGCATAATAATATGTGAGAATTCGAGGAAAAATTGACCACGCGGCCGCAATTATCTAAACACGTATGTAAACTGACTAAGGAACGTATGAAAATTCGACTGCTGATCAGTATAGATGAAAAACATCTGCTATCCTTTTGAAAAACTGCATGGTTCGATATAGCATGACAGGATTACGACAGTAGGGATTGGCAACTTGCATGATCCTGTTTACTATTCGGATCATGGCATTACCTAATTCTGCCCATAACCATTGTACAAAGTAAAAAGGAAATTAAATATAGGGCGATTTGTGAATACATCAGAGGTGTGGAATCGAAATCTAATGATAAAAGGTTTGTCATTCCTCTATTATTTGCTGTAAGCCTGGTATCCTCTTATAGAAAATACGTCTGTAATGTACACTTTTGCCATTCCTCTATTTCAAATTGCGGCTAGGTACGTTACTACATCGAAATATACACCAAAGCTATGAATGAATATTCTCATAAAGCCGGAAAATAATTTGCATAAGCTTTCTTTATCCAATTTTTCCTGGCTGGGCCCAACTCAAGTAAACGACTCATCAAATTGTAAGTACAAGAGGTCAAAGCAGTGGATTCGTTTGAGTGTCTTCTTTGTTCTTTTTCCTACAACCACGCAAAGCACTGTCTCATCTTGGCCACATTAAGTAAGATATCACAGATACATGATTCCCCCCGTGCTTTCCTTGTTAGAGACAATCCATAGCTACACATTTCCTCAAGTTGGAATTTGAGACTTTAGTCAGACCCTTAGGTCAACATACTGAGCCAGTTTCAACATTTAATCGTTAAATTACTTCGTTTTTAAATGCTGCAGAAAAAAATATTGTATATCCACATCCGTGTATATACAATACACCAACATGTTTACTTTCCCGTTTCTGATCATTACGGATGTACTCCAAGCTCTCCACGAAATCGACTTCAATCTTAATTGTACAATGATCAATTTTTTTTAAGTCTGACTGACCTCGTGGTGACATGATGCTTGAATAAGATATGGAAAGACTTCTTGTAACGCATTATGGAATAAAAAACAATAAGCATAACACACAACCGGGCAAATATATGAGGAATTCTTCTTTCATATTCATTTCTATTCGCTTAAGAATCGACTGGTTTTTGCTTTGAGTCACTTGATGTCTTTGCAAAGCCTTCATAATTCGACAAAATCTCGACGTTTCCCGAAGTTCAGAATATGATCCCCATGCCAGTGCTAAATTAAACACTACACCATGATTATGTTCGCTTTTTCTGAGAAATACGCTTTTAACATAAATGCACGGTCATTTGGTGGTTTTCCCGGAAAGCTGTTGAAGTAATCATGCGCGACTTTAGCTTCTCGTATAGGATTGTGGGAGACTTTGTTGTGTCACTTGTCCCCATCTCCAATTTTCTTACATAGCTTTTTAAAAAAGCAGCCCGCTACAATAAGTCAAAACTTGGTGTGGGCTGACAAACATAATTACAAAATGAAACAGAAAAAATGCTAAATGAAAAGACGTGTCCATGTTTACTTAGAAAAACTAGCGCGAGTGGATATAGAAATTATGTGTTTCCATTAGAAACAAATAATTTCTCTCTCCTTTGATCGAGAGATACATCTGGGAACAACTTCTCGAGTACAAGGTTGAGTTGGAGGGGTCCTCTTCGACATCAACAACCGAAATAATTTTTTCCAAATTCTTAATCATTGGGTGAAAAAAAAGAACCAAATACGTCATCTCACTTACAAGGAGTTACATTGTGAAAATACCAGCTGGGAGATCAACTGATGCAACAAAGTTTCATTTTCGTTTAATGCTATTAACCAGTATTTCGAACTCGAAAAACGCCACCTTGTTACTTCCATGATAATGCTAAATCTTAAACCAAACAGTCGAGGAAAAAATCCAACGAATTTAGATCATTTTTCCAAACAACCTACGATTATCATAGAAGTTCCTTTTGACATCATAATCACTAATTATATAAGGAAAATGACTTCGATAACATTCATATTCGTGTTTCTCTCCTTAGATTACTGCTTCTCTCAGCGAATCTCAACTAGATGGCTACAAGGTTAAGGCTTTTCTCTGTGTCGCGTTATGGCAGCGTTTTAAGGCTTTACACTCACGTATTTCACCACAGATCAAGAAAACAAATAGATCTTTTCCTAGAAATTCCCACACCGCGCCATACCTATTTGGTGGGCAAAGTTTCCTAGAAATTACCTTCAGCGACAGGCGTATTTATAATTCATGTAAATCCAACGAGTTGTCATAAGATATGTTGTTCCCCTTACTGTACTCCACCAACCTTTTCTACCAATGACTAGTGATTTTAGGTTGGTAGGACCGACGGCAAGGAAATATTCATCAAATGTTATGAGTAGAGTCAAACAACAGTAAATCCTGTAGCTGGTGTGACAATCGCACACGAAGGTAAGTGGTTTACTGTCGCTGCCAAGCCTTTCCTAGCAAGTTATGTGAAATATCATAGTACTAGCAACGAAAATGGAACATAGATTTAAATATTAACGGATAAAAATGCTCAGAACCGTAAGTTTTGGGAGAAAGGAAAAGAAGGTTTTTCTTAAGGTAGAAATTCTATCAGCACCTCGAGATACTGTTCACTAACTTACTCTCTTCTTTTTTTCTAAGGTTACAACTCAATTGATTTGAAAACAAGTCTCAACTCGGTTATTACATGTAACCTTCGCCCCATTCTATAGGTATAAAATTGGAATGTTATGATAGCAAATCGCCAGAACGAGCTCGAATCGTGTCCTTTCACTTAACACAAATTCATTGCCACAGAACAGTGATAGTGTTGACCAATTGCTGATATTCATAAAGATGGCCAACTGCTCCGAATCGAGAAATGGCTGGAAACTATTCATCGGAGTTTTTTTTCTCTCTTAATTATTTTCAATTCCGACCAAAATGGCAAATTATTTGTATTATCTATAAGAAGTGTGCGACGGAAGAATTGGAAGGTCACAAGTGATATTTCTCAGAAATTAAGGACAGGAAGTTACCTGCCTGATTCTCAGAAACATCAATAATTGATCCACGCTTGCATCACGAGGTGACCTTTGTTGTGATTGGTTCATACCCCAACACGCCATGAAAACGCCATGCTTCATTACAACAAAAAACTCAAGACAATAACTGCGGAGGAATACAGGAAAATAAAGGAAAAGCACTCAAGGAAATCAAGGAAAACAAAAATAAATTAAAAAAATAAAGGTTCCAATTCTCAACTTAAGACACGTCCGACTTAAGCGCTTGGTACTTAGGTCTCTCTCAATAAACTGTCTCAAATCATGTTCAAAAGCAGCCGAGATGCAAAGCTACAATAAGGAAAATTGTAGCATCAACTACAAACCTACATGTATGGGTTTTTGTGCAAACATTTTGAATTGAGGTTGATGCCCTAAAGTCCCTATTTGAAGAAGTTCCCAAATTTCGGCACCTGAGCTGGAAGATCATGCAAAGGAATTTCGCTGAATTTCGTAATATCTTATTGAGATTGAGACTGATCTGTCTAACCAAACATTACTTAATGTAAGTCCAATTTTGTGAAACAACAGAGAAACCTTAAGATCCATGGGTAATACACCAACTACAATTTACTGATTTGGCAGTTTTTACAGCGTCTAACATATGGGTTTGCTGAGTCAGCACTGTTATCGCGACAGGGCACCTAAGCTAACAAGTCATTTCTTTCTGGGGAGCTCTTTCAACCCTAATCAAAATTACACTCATTTGGGCAATTTAGTAGAATAAAAATTTTCCTTTGACCGGAGGATTTTGTTAACTGTAACATTGCAAAAGTCAATTAAAATCAAAACACGGACTGTGGAATGATGATAACTCGTCTTACCCGAGCTGTTTCCTGCCTATGTTTATTTCACGACATTTCAAGATATGATATCGTGTACCTAGAACAAAATGAGCGAATATTTACTGAAAGTCGCTGTAAAGTGTGTTTGACTTCAACGTGAAGCGTTTTGCCGAATTTTGATTCCATTAGAAAGTATGATATTTGTTAACTTTACCAGGCTCTTCGTGGAGAAGAGGAAAAGCGTGCGCACAAAATGTGGGAAAAGAAACAACGATATCAATTTTACCAATTATATATATATATATATATATATATATATATATACGCCAAACAAACGGCCGATGTCTGAGATGATGCGCAACTTAGAACTTAGTCTTTGTTCGTGCGGAGTCGTGGAGTTCTTGTTCCAGTCCCTCACTCGTCTTTCCCATTTTTTCACTCATCCGTTAGGGGAAAATTGAAGAGTGCTTTAAGTGACCCCAATACTATCACTTTCATGGTGCAGGTTTGAAGTTATAGGCCGTCAGCCCAAGGTTTGATATAATCAAAGACCACATTACCAAAAAAAAAACCAACAAACAAACAAACACGCAAAAAGAACATAAAAAAGCCGAAAGATGCAGGCGAAAGAAGTCTATCCTGTGAGTCCTGCAAAGGGGCATTTACGCTTTCAAGACTTATTATTTTTTTTTTTCAAATATGACTTCTATCATAGGCTTAGAAAGTTCTTAAAGCGTTTACAACTATAATTCGGAAATATTTGTTTAGAAAAAAAACTTTGGGCCAGAGCACAAAGCTTGGGGCCAATAATGGTATCTAACCTTCCAAAATATCATATTTCAGAGCAGAAAAAGGTAATGCAAACGTGCCAGAAAAATGGAGAGCAAAAGAGCCGGCTGAAGTTGCGGTTGCGGTTGAGAACGGATTGAATGATTAGTCCGAGATTTCCTAAAAAGAAAGAACTACACATCATTAAACCTACTTTCATAAAAATATGTACAAAAACCAACGGCCTACGGGTGGTTTTATTGGAAAGATGTCTTGGTTGTGAGCAATTAGACTCTCCCCGCGTCGTGGTATGAGGTGCTAGCTCCGAGTTCCCAAATCTTCTCTCGCATTTCTTGACATACATAGAATTTTATTAGTAAAGGAGCCATTTCAGAACACTGCTAGATTTCAAAGTCTTTTACCGAATATTTAATCAACCTTTTCAGCTTCGAGAAAAAAAAGCGAACACACACACGCAGACTACGCACACCTCTAACTTAACCAATAATAATTGACAAAGAGCCTTCACATGCTTTTTTAGCACAATCTCACCGGGTGATCCCTATGAGTTCTGTCAAGAAGCACACACTCAGAAAATTGAAGCCTTAAATATATTAGCTAATTTTTTTAATCTTAAAAAATATTTTCAGAAACATGATCATCCTTTCGAAACCAGAAGAAATATGTCTTAGAGCAGAAACCTGGGCTACATCTAAACCTCCTTACTTTCGTAGTATTATGTTTCAGAGCAGCAAACTGAGCTACCGTGGGGAAAATCTATATTTTTAAAATATCACGTTTCAGGGCAGAAACCTACGGTAAATTTACAACACCCACTTTATAACCCCGTGTCAGTGGCAACCATATCATAAACATGCGCATAAAATGATATTAGAGAAGAACACGTCATAGCGATCAAACAAGGTACAACCAGCCAACTGCTGATACACCATTGCCGAAGGTACAGTCGAGCTGTGTCGAGTAAACGACATTAAAGTTGGCAACAAGATGAGCGAAAATCGACGAAGACGGGAGGATGCTACCGAAATAGTGACAAAATCGACTGTGCTCGGTATCATAGGAGCCCTGAACCGCGACCCAGAGACAGTAGAGAACCACACCAGGCAAATCGAGTCTTTAAAGAAGGAAATCGAAGAGAGGGACAATACTCTGTCAAGGTTAAACAAGGAATTGAAAGATTTACAGGCTCAAAACGATGACCTACAGATTACCTTGGAGTCTAGGAACCAAGAAATAGAAGCTCTGAAGGACAAAGTTGATAAACTAGAAACCGAAAGGAAAATTTTGGAAAAGAAGCTACAATATGTCGAACTCGAATTTAAGGATTTGAAAAACCAAAACGACGAGAAGAACAAAGAAATCGGGGATTTGAAGATCTCACTGGAGTCGAAGGATAACGAAATAACAGCCATGAAAAGGGAACTTAAGGATTTGAAAGACCAAAACGACGAGAGAGCCAAAGAAATCAAGGTTTTGACGATTTCATTGGAGTCGAAGGATAAAGAAATAATTGCCCTGAAAGATAGGATCAGAGGGCTTGAAAATGCGCTGAAAAGTTTGGAGCTCTTTACTGAAGCCTTGAAGAAGGAATGGGAGGATGCGAGGGAAGCACGCAAGAAAAGCGAGAAAGACGAAAAAGAAATGAAACTAACTATAGAAAAACTGTCGAAGAATATTCAGAGAATGACGAAGGAACGCGACCAAAAAGAAGAAGACGACCTCAAATGGAAAAAGGAATTCCAAGAAAATATGCAACTAGTGCAGTCTTATGGAAGAGGTAGCCAGTCTTTGCCTGATCCAGCTGAGAATGCTTTCATTCTTCTTGGTCAAATGTGCTCGCGAGTGCAAGCGATGATGTACCAGAGAGTACTTCCAGACCGTTATAATGAAGAATACTTGTATAAATTGAAATTCATCGAAGAAGACATTGCGAGAGAACAGGGAGACCTTAAACGTCAGGCGATTGAGAGATGGGATAAATTGAAAAGGAAACTAAGCTGGGATGACATCAATCATCCCAGAACACTGAAAGAGATCCAGAGGAAAAGAAACGATGTGGCTCATCCCAATCTGCTTACAAAGGAATTGCTTCTCAATTCAGCTGAAATGATGCAAGAGGCAGGTAAACTGTCCGGCAGAATGTCTTTGACTCATGTCCGTCAAATAATAAAAATATGGGACCTTCTAGATCAGATGGAGTAGTGGAAACTTCAAGCATGTGCTCAACACATACACGTATGTACAATTAGAGTAACTGACTGTTTTAATGTTTGATCCAGCCTAAGCGCTGGACTGGCCTAAATATCTTGTTGGCAACAACTGCCGGTAGAGTGACCGAGTTTCACAGTATTAACATGGCGTTTCAATCTCATCGGTAAAATTCGTTCCAACGGTAGTGTTTAGAATGGTTTAAAAACACATTTACTAAACGTTTGTAAAATATATCTTAAAATCGTGAAATGCTGTTAGTCAAGATTACATAGAAATTGGTGCAACGTGAGCATCGCGCAAAATGTGAGCAATTTACAGACGATCTGCACCAAAATCAATCGCCGAGAATTAACAGGGCATGTGGTGGCCAAACCGAAATCAAAACGAAACACGCTCGAAATTTCACCGAAATCTTAACGTAGAATGGTTAATGTTTGGTTAATGGTTAATGGTTTCTGTAGAATTGAACTGTCACAAACATATTTTATTCTCTTTTGTTAAAAATTTAGATCTTGTCGCTTAATCTACTGCGAACATTACAACCGTTGAACTCACGGTCTCCCCTTTATTTTCTTCAGGCTGTTACTAACATATTGCAAACTTCGCATAGCTTTAGCTTGATGCAAAGTAGGAGATAATGTCATATTTTCAGTTAGTTCACCAGGATTTAGAAGAGTAATTTTTGGTCAAAACGAAGGAGTTGTATAGCGTCTCCTTCAGGCCGCTATCTCGGTCTTCCTTCTTTCGCTTTATACATATGATCTACTTATTGGCGCTTAGAAGTTAATTTTAGGTAGATACACTCGCTTAAAGGGGCGAAATGACAGCTCTCAAGCCCGATACTCACTGTGTTCCTATGAATGATGGCGTGTAAAATATATTTCTGCAAAAAGTTCGAAAACAGGTTAATTCAGAGCAGCAAAATTCTGAGAAACAGAATATTTAAAGATTTTCCGAGAATTCGGCCGAGTGGAACGTCGCCTTTTTAGGAGAATATCATGAATGCATGAATGAAATTTATACAATTATTGCGTTGCATCCATCGTGAGAACATGACGAAGACTTTGATCGACATTTTCGGCTGGCAAGTTAGTTCTTTATCATTTTATTGAGAAGCATTTCGTGAATACTCTTTTTTCAAATCATGAATATCATGTCCTGGAGTAATTTGGATAGAGTCCAAGGGTATACCATATATGGTAATGGCGATCACGAGGATGCATGGACATGATTGGTTGGGACACACAATTTTGCCATGACAATGAATAACCCTTAGACTCTCTCATTTAATTTTGACACCTAGATTATTGAACCATCAACCAGATGCCACTCATCTCCATCACACACGTAAAATGCACTGTAATCACTTTCCCTTTCGAACAATTTATCACTCGAGCTATTTCCGTGATGATTATCCTACTTTTCGCTTTATATTAAAATGTGACAAAATTAGCTATCAATACTTACTCCAGCTCTTAACTGCGTTTAAACTTTGTTGAAATATTGTGTGCTAATTGATCAGCTGCAGGTAAGGCAAACAAAATTTTCAACCGACGCTAAGTGGGGAAACAGGGCAATAAATAAATAATTTTTACTAGCTGCGTGATAGTATAAACTCGCTGAATCATGATAGAGAATTTCCTAGAAAGACATGGATAATTAACTCCTTTCAGAATGTTGAAGAAGCACTCGGTAGTTCAGATTGTAATTAAATAAATTCACATTCAAATATAGCTCAGGCCACGGTTGTTCAAAGCTGGGTTAAGGTAACCCAGGGTTAGTGTGAAATTTGATTTCAGGTCTGAAAATTTTAAGAGAAAATTCAGTTCAAATCTTTTTGCTTGCAATTTAATCATTGGATGTTCTAAAAATAATAGTGAAAATTTTCCCAAAAAGACTTTTGAACAAAGAAATAAAGAAAGCTGGATTAAAAATTTAACCCTGGGTTAGAGCTAATCGGCCTTTGAACAACTGGGCCCTGATATTGAAACGAAGAGTTTTTAAGAGGCGTGTAAATTAAACTGCATTCGCAGTCATTGTTGACGGCATAGAGCTAAAGTCCAAAAGGAACTGTATGTTACAAGCTTTAACACATGGACATCCGGAAATTATCATATTGCAGGTTTCCTTCCCGCAACTTTCACGCGAACGTCGACTTGTCTGTGTTGCAAAGCTATTGATCTTAAATTGAAAATTTATGGCACTGAGTATGACAAAATAAATTTTAATGATTTAGCTTGATGAAAACAAAAGTAATTGCCGAAGAGATTTCAACTTCAATATATGGCCCAAGCGGCTTGCCGACAATGTGGTAAACTGAAACTGCCACATATCTTAGCGTAAGCCCAGGCCCACACAATGTAACTATTGGGCAGCAAATCGTTCGGACATGCCTCGTTCATGTACTTTCCCTTAAAAAAGAGTCACCGTTACGGAATATTGATCCGTTTTTGGGAGTAACTCGTTTTGGATAGTGAAATGGCACAAGCTTGTCCAAAATGAGCAAAATCTGATCTTTACTGGTCCTCCCTGTTCTTGATCATTCAACTAAGTTTACCAAAAAGGTTACAAGGAATGACAGGAAAGAAACGAGAGAAAATCAGAGAGCAAGTTTGGAAAATGTGCAAGAGCTTCCCTAGTCATCAACTTACATACACTCGACATGCGACTAGACACAGCGGAAAGCGTCTCTGTTGAGCAGCAATTTGACACCTTTGTTTCATGAGTGAATGTATACGCTTTACGTCCTATTCCCCAAATTCCCCGTTGACCGATAAGATCAACACGATGAGCCAGTGGACGAAAAACGTACATACTACTGCCACTAAAATAATTCGGCGATAAAACACACTGATGATCCATTGGAAGAAAAACGTACATACTACTGCCACTAAAATAATTCGGCGATAAAACGCAATGGACCATCAAACTGCCAAAAAGCTATAACTTGTTATCGCTTTTAAACATTCAAAATTCACGACCGAAATACAGTCAACGCAGATATGATACATTGCTTGAAGAAAAGCGGAAGTCAAACATGACAATAAAATAAAAACCAAATGACAACAACGATGAAGGAAGAGGAGATGATTAAATTGACTACAAACTTCTTACACAACATTACTTTATACTCAGTAGGGAAGGGCCTTCTGGTGACAAAAAAGTATCTGTAGACTTGTCCTCCATGACCTATACTTTTGAGTTTACAAAGTAAGATCATTCAGCATTTCAACCAAGCAGCGATTTCTCTGCTGAAACACCACGTAAAACAAGAAAATGGAGAGAAAATCATGGAACTCAACAGTTCATTGTTGTACTTTAGTACGGTATTACCACCACCGAAAGTGTGCGTAAGCTCTGTTGTCTTCAGCTCTTTGGTGTAGTTCGTGCTTCCGATTAATGACAGTACCCTGAATACAACAAAAAAGAAACAAATAAATGAGCAAAAATAATACACAAAAATTAATAACATATCAGACTCTCAATTGCATGTATTTGCTAAATGTGTTTTGGCCTGCTATGTAAAAGAACGGTACCGGCGATGAAGATAATAATAATAACAACAATAAAGCAATAATAATAATAATAATAATAATAATAATTTAGTAATAATAATGACAGAGACTGAGCTGCACTGGAATATAAAATTTGAATAAAATATTCCCGTTTCCTTAAACCATCAACTTCCTCGTTCTTGATAATCATTAGGTTTGGGAATTTGGTGTCAAATCTAATAATAGCTCCTGATTAATCTGCAATTTCAACACAATTTTGCTTTCAAGACGATGCAGTAAGGATGAATTAACCTGTTACTCGTTGGAGTATATCTATCCACGCAACTATACACTGTAAGAAGTCCTATGCATTCAAAATTTCTTAACACAGAATATACACTCAATAAACGCGTTGAAAGGCTTCCCTTATTGGGTACCTTAAGTCCCTTTCCACATCTGTTCTTAATTATCACCGACAATGGTAACATCTTAAGTATGACTTTTGAGAATCCTCACAAAGATGATGTTTAGGTGATTAGCGTTAGCAACACCCCATCAAATATAGATTACAGCCACTTTAACCGCAACTAACTAGCCCTAGTCTTTACTTCAGCGAAGTTATTTTAAACCCTGAAATCTGTACGTGACTATCCGACCGAAAGACAAACAAAAATACACCCTTACGAACTGCAGCACACTTCCATAAAAACGACTTCCCACCTCCTTATTGTAAGCATCCATCAGCTCCTTGGCAAGTTTCTTGTACATTCGGGCATTGCCTTTTTGCTATTCCCGAGCAGCTTTGATGAGCCATTTAATGGCCAAAAATCGACGGCGCCGTTGGTTGATTGCGCTTGGCACCTGAAAATTACAGACATGTGAGTAAAACTCTTGTCAAAGTATGTATGAAATACAAAAGGATAGATGCTGATGATAAGAAACCCTACAAGAATAAGTAGTACTAAATTAAGACAACAGAGTAAAGAATACATGCTGTTCTGCATAATGACTATGCCAAACTAAACTGCTGCAATTAGTATGCCATTTCAGTTACAATATGCGAGTCACTTTTTCATCTTAAGCAAGGTATTGAGTATGAGCTATTGTAAAAACTATGACTAATTTGGTTGGTTTCTGACAAGTGATTTTGCAAACTGACCAGTTAGTAAAGTTCAGGTCTCCTAAAAGTGACTAGTGTTGATGCTTGCAGTCCACTGTTCTAATCAAGGTGATGTTCCTGGTTTTTTCCTTGAAACAAAAAAGGACTTTCCAAATATATTCTGATGTTCACAGTTTTTTTTAGTTTCATAGCATCAAACAATTGTATGCAAGTGTTCTCTTTTCAGGAAGGTGTCATAAAACACATCAGTTGGATGTCTACAGATACTTAAAGGACCAGAAAAAAAGTGAATTTCAAAAACATATCGACTGATGCAATGTAAGGAAGTATTGCAAAAAATATCATGAAGAAGTAACTGTTGAAATGTTACTCCTGCAAAAATCAGTAGAAAAGAAACTCACTTCTTCGATTGCTCCTTCTTAATCTCTTCCATTGCCTGAAATAAAATAAAAGTAGAATGGTTACAAAAATATCCAGTATACATGCAGGCTTGGAAATTGCCTGTACAACCTTAACTTGAATAAAAAGGAACACTTAATACCGGTAGGTGTGGCTGTATGGCTGTAACAGAATGTTGGTTTGTGTGTATGGCACAAATTTAACTCTATCACACAAACTACTGATTCTTTAAAACAATCAACTCCTCTGAACTTGCTGTGATCTATTTTAGCAACTGTCATTAAGCCTTCAGAAAATAAATGATCATACAAATAAGTTTGAAAACTTCCAATTGGCTAATGTTGCATTTATCAGTTCATTCCAGTTTCTTTTTTGGAGTTCCAAAATGGTTTTAGCTTAGATCCTTAACAAAAAGTGTAATCTTCTGAACCATTCACAACATATTCTGGCAAACCTTGGGAGAAAAAGGTACCACTTTACAATTTTTGATGGGCATGTTCATGTATAAACTAACCTGCTCAACTTACCAGTTTAAAGATTTTCTGTGATAAAGACTTTTCACCACCCCACATCATGCAATTCACGAATTTGCTGAAATTTGGTTTAAAAGTGTGAGTGAAAACTAGGAGACAAGTGCTTTTAAGAAAATCAGTCTGAATTGTCAAGTCAGATCAGTCATTTTTCTAAGTTTTATACATTGTAAAGAAACTGGGGGAAAAATAAATAAATTTAGAAAAAACAAATTTAATGTCATTTGCAATTAACTGGTCCACAAAGTTCTGGGTTCACACTCCAAGGAATGATACCAACTCTCTAGAGCACTGCCCTATCCCTCATTTCTCAGAAGCAAAGAATGGTTTCTAAACAAAATGATACAGGCCTGGTCATATCCAACCTTGAACTTTTGAGGTGACAGTACAAAATTAATGTACTTTAGAAAAGTAAATTAAGACAATACAGTCCAACCCTACAATCTCCTACAAGGAATTAACACATGTACAGTGTACATATGAATTCTTACATCATCACAGTTACAGTAAACCAGCAAATGGGTAAGAGAAAAGAAAATTGTAAATTAGACATAAGTGCAATTTTGATTTAGAACAAAGTCATCTCAGGAAATTTGAAAGGAAATTTTTAGAAACTTCAGAGGATGATTACTTGGCAGATTTTGAGAATAAATATGTGATGTACTGTACTTACTTGACAAGTTCATCATCTAACATTGAGGAGGTCATATGAGAATCTGCAGCTTTGGGAATTTCAACCTTTTCATCAGTATCAAATATATTTCTGTGGATTTTAACACAGAATCAGTAAATTAAAAGGAAATAACCTGAAGGTACCATTTTACTTCTTTTTGGAAAGGGGAAATGGAGCAATGATATTAGTTTAAAGCTTACATCTGCTTCAGAAGTTCATTCTGACTCTGTGATGATGTTGAATCTGTGTTGTCAGTATCTTTTTTCGTTGGACTTGTTCTGCCTTTGTCTTTATCGTGACTATGAAATCTCTGTTGATATATAACAAAAAACACTAATTTATCCTCATGTTAATGAAATATATAATAATTTGGTTTGAAAGTACATGTAAGAACATAATTTGGTACACTCTTTAAGTCTGGAAACAATTCACTTAAGGTCAAATATTGATTAGGGGTGCATTGAAGACAACATGACTGCAAGAAATACATGTATGAAGGTTGCAAACACTTACAACACATTTTCTTGGAATCAAAAATGTTTTGTAGCATGTGTGGTGAAGAAAATTTAAGAACTTGGATGCTGTTATCAGGGTCTTTATGAATTACATGAAGTAGCAAGATAGTTATGTAATTAACCAAGGAAATGTTGCTCAAATTTTTTATAGGCAGATGTGTGAACTAAACAAGTGGGTTAACTAATGCAATTAGGCCTAGTTAAATATACTGCATGTAGCCCCCAGAAGGGGGGATCTGAAACCATGCTTCCCTGGTAAATTTTGAAAACCCATGTTTTCCTGTCACTCAATGCAGTTTAAATAAATAACTAAGTATTATTATTCCACTAGTTTGCTTGTCCATTTAAGATAAATCCACCCCACTCCCTCTCCCCTCCACAACTTCTGACATTTCCTAGAGTGTTTGTAGATAACAAATCATACTCCTGGGATCACAGAGGGACTGTGAGAGGATATAAACCCACCCCCCTCCCCTCTGCAATTTCCAAAGATTTCTTGACCATCTGAGTACATTGTATATCCACTGACACACCTGAGCTGAGAGAGGCACCCCTGAATCAATAGAGTGTGGCCTAAGAAAATGACAAAATGAGCTGGCTGGGGTTCAGATCCAAACCTGTTACCTGAAATCAATTGAATCAACCACTATCCCATTGCAATTTTCACATAAATAAATAAATGAGTAAATAAGTAAATTTCAAATGGCTAAATTGTGCATGCATTGTGATTGATTCTTAACCATGATCTATAGGAGGATAAATACATAGAGGACATTAGCATTTTAACAATTTTTTGCTCTCTTTATCTTCGTAAACAAATAGATTCCATGCTGCCATGGATCTACTCTGCAATGGATCACAGAAGACACTCTCAGCTTTAGCTGTGTGCCACTTTATTGATCTTACCATTATTTTGACTTCAACTGTAAAGTAATATATAGATTTAGCCAAGCCTAGAAGCAGAGCTCGCATTTTTTTTTTCCTGCATATCTCAACGCCTTGTCTTAGCCAGGACTAGAACCCAGGTTGTCTGACTCGGAGCCCAGTGCACTGACCACTGGACCACTGGACCACTGAACAAAGCTGTGGCATTGGTGTGCCCACGGCACAGTTGACCACACATGTTAAAAATAGCACCTTGTATGGTTGTACGGTTGTATGGTCATATGGTCGTATGGTTGTACATCCAAATTTTTTCAGCTTGATGGGTTACTACTATTTTGCATAATTATCAGGCTACACTTTGCAAGCTCTGCTATTACTGAGCAGATGCAGGGTAACAAGGAATCTAATAATTGTTAAATAGATGATTAAATAAATAGATAGATCAATAATATGAGTAGATACTAAAGAATATAACATCATGTCTCTCAAAACCTTAAGCTTTCCACTGGCACGACTAATATAACAAAGACAAGAAAAACTGTGTTCAGCACTTACAACGCTGATTGAGATGAGCACATTGACCTTGCAATATTAGTCCTGTGGCAACTTTGTATTCTGCAAATAAGAAAACAAAATGTTTATGAACAAAACAAAAAAAGAACCAATTAAAATTGTTCAGACATGGCTTAAGGCATTAACTCTTTGACCATTATGAGTGAGTAACGTCTAATTTCTCCTTACCAAATCACCTTCGAATCACTTATTGGGGTCATAAGAATGTAGGACCAATCACCAACTAAAGAAGCTCTACATTGTTTCACAAATTATTCACGTCAGAAGCTTAAATGATGTGTAGAGAACACTATGGAGACTATGTATACTGATGTTGGTGAAAAGAGTTGATAATGAGGTGATCACTTTCGTTGGATCGAGGACTGCATGTTGCATGCGATGTACATCTGCAAAACCTGTACAAATCGCTCCACGAATGAATGGCATTTCTGAAACACAAACGTTTTACCTTGGGGGTTGGCGACTAAATAAAACTCTTGCATCACTGAAATTCCGAGTAAAAACCCCAAGAAACTTGTTACTTCTTCGCGAACATGAAAGACAATCAAGTAACACCAATGCCCTTGTGGCCGCCATGTTGGATTTTGAGAAACTGAAAAGGACTTGGTAACGAGTATTTCCAACACGAGGACTCATGGGAAGAAAATGACTCGTTCCCAGTTGCTTTACATGGAATTAGACACACGGTCAACACAAGTAGGTAAGCAAGGAGAGGTGCTACAAACTGCTGGGAACAAGTACATTGAAACACTCCATCTGAGCCGTGTATCTGGACTGTCATCTCAGTCTTATCCTGTTTATTATTATTAGGCAACTGTTTAGGTTAAATTCTTTTCCACCCTGGTTCTTTCAGGTGCTTCGTTATTACTAGAGACTGTCCTCATTAGCTTGCTCGCGTAGAACTGTGTATCATTAAGAAAATAACCATACCTATGTATAGTGTGTTTGCATATTTATCGTGAAACTAGGGAAACGATACAAGATACATATGGATAATTCAAAGATTGAGAATTTTTTTCGAGTAATTGTCGCTCGTCAAACAAATATTGCGCATTCTATTTGTGGAGAAAAACAGACTGTTTTTATCTTGTTTAATTGGGTTTTTCTTTCGTTCCTTTCTTTACTTCTTTTGGTTTTCTATTGATTCTGTTCTGCCATAATTTCATTATATTGTGGGTACAGGTATCTACGAGCGTATCTAACTACATAATAATACTTTACTGTATACAGCATCTGCAATACTGAATGAGAGTACACCATACTCAGTAAAGCCGCTGAGTGCTTTATTACTTGCGTAACTAAACGTCCACCATGGGTGGTCAATAACGACAAAAAATGAGCAAATCCAACTATTTATCGCTAGAATAAGTGTTTAGAGCTAAGAGGAACGCAGAGGAAAGTTAGCGTCTATCCAAAGACAATTTAAATTTAAAAAAAAAAAAAAAAACCTTAAGATACTCCATTCATACACTTACAAAGTACTACCACATTCTAACCTGTCGGAGAAAAGCACACAATTTCGATGTTCAATACTTATAAGGTACGATTTGATATTGGTTTCACCAAGTAAGTCGTCTTTATTTGTCTAAAGAAAGCAATATGACAAGTGAAACGCAATTCATTCCAGGATAAAAAAAACGTTGGATGCAATATCATTTTTAATCTTACATCCGATAGGTTGAAATCATATAGAGCTAGCTCAGCGTACTTACTTCTTTTTACGTGAAGCGTGATTGGTAAAAAAAATTCTCCGTGAGGCGTGATTTAATAGAAAAATTTAGCGTGATGTGTGATTGGAACCCCCCTGTCGCTCTTTCAACGCTAATCAAAATTACACTCATTTGGGCAATTAAGTAGAATGAAATTTTCCCTTTGGCTTGAGAGTTTTGTTAATTTCAACATCGCAAAAGTGAAGTAAACCCATAACACTGACTGTGGAATGATAATAACTCGTTTTGCCTCAGCTGTTTCCTGTCTATGTTTATTTCACAATAGTGTTATTAAAACAAATTAATAGCCTATTGCCTTAGAGTTTAAAGTCGCTGTAAAGTATTTACGTCATGTCTGACTTCAACGTGAAGTGTTTTGCGTAATTATTTATTTTAGATTAGTAGATTTGATATTTGTTGACTCTGCTCGGCTCGTAGTGGAGATGAGCGAAAGCGTACGCACAAAATGTAGGAAAAAAGTAAATGATATAATTTTCACCACATTTTAGACATATATTCGCCAATTAAAGGGCCGATGTTCTTGAGATTATGCGCAACTTAGACTTTGTTCGTGCCGGGTTGTGAAGTTTTTGCCCTAGTTTCTCACTCGCAATTTCAAACTTAGAGAAAATTAGAAGAAGAGCCCTTCATGTGACCCCAATACTAACACTTTCATGGCGCAGGTTGTTGTCGATTGAATTTGAAGATGTTTTATTGAAATTTTATCATTCCTTTCAATTTAAAATAATAGACCGTCAGCCCAAGGTTTGATATGAGTTAAGACCACATCACAGAAAATCGTAAAGAATTTAAAGGCTGACGTTTCGAGCGTTAACCCGTCGTCAGAGCGATAAGTATACAAACAAACACGCAAACACAACAAAAAGAAATAGAAGAAGCCGAAAGATGCGGAGGAAAGAAGTCAATCCTGTTAGTCCTGGAAAGGGGCATTTACGTTTTCAAGACTTTCACCTTTTTTTTTTTTAAAAGGTTAGGTCTAGAAAGTTCTTAACGCGTCTCTGATTATACCTCGGAAATATTTGTTTAGAGAAAAAACTTTGGGACAACTAAGAAATCACACTTTCAAAATATTGTGTTTCAGAGCACAAAGCTTGGGATCAATAATGAATATCTAAACTTTCAAAATATCATATTTCAGAGCAGAAAAAGCAAAAGCGGGCGTGCCAGAAAAATGGCACGTAAAATTGCTGCCTGAGGTTGTGGTTGTGGTTGCCAAAGAAAGTCGGAAATACATATAATTCAACCCACTTTCGTAAAAACATGTACACTAACGGACGGCCTGCGAGTGGTGGTGGGAAAGACGTCTTGGTTGTAAGCAATTATACTCTCCTCGTGTTGTGTTGTGGGGTATTAGCTCCGCGTTCCCAAATCTTCTCTCTCGCTTTTGGAGGTATCATAAAGGACGTGATCAGTACAGGAACCCTTTCAGAACACTGTTAAATTTCAAAGTGTTTTATGGAATGTTTAATCAGCCTTCTCAGCTTCGAGAAGCAAAACAAAAACAAAAAAAAAGAAACACACACACGCAGACTACACGTAACGTCTAATATAATCAATAACCGCCTTTTAATGGAGAGCCTTAACGCGCTTTTTAAGCACAATCTGACTGAGTGCTCCCCATGAGTTCTGCGAAGGAGCATAAACTCAATAAATTGAAGCCCTAAATATAGTAGCTAATATTTTGAATCTTAAAAATTATTTTCAGACACATGATCATCCTTTCGAAACCAGACGAAATATCATGTCATTTACTCCTGTAGTATTATGTTGCAGAGCAGCAAATTGAGCCACCGTAGGGAAAATCTTTAATTTTTAAAATATCACGTTACAGGGCAGAAACCTGGGGTAGAATTAACAACACCCACACCCCAAACTCCGTGTCAGTGGTAACTGTATCATAAACATGCGCATTAAACGTTATTAGAGAAGAACACGTCATAACGATTAAAAAGGTACAACTAGCCAGTTGCGTGCTCCACGGATACATCATTACCGAAAGTTCAGTAAGAGTTGTGTCGAGCAAACGACATTAAAGCTGGTAACAAGATGGATGCAATTGTGGAAAATTCAACTATGCTCGGATTCATAGGAGGAACGCTGAACCCCGACCCAGAGACAGTAGAGAACCACACTAGGCAAATCGAGTCTCTCAAGAAGGAAATAGAAGAGAGGGACAAGACGCTGTCAAGGCTAAAGCAAGATTTCAACGATTTACAGGCTCAAAACGACGACTTAAAGATTACCTTGGAGTCTAAGAACCATGAAATTGAAGCTCTGAAGGACAAAGTTCATAAACTAGAAACCGAGAAGAAAATTTTGGAAAAGAAGCTACAAAATGTCGAACTCGGATTTGAGGATTTAAAAGACCAAAACAATGAGAAGAAGGAAGAAATCAAGGATTTGAAGAACTCATTGGAGTTGAAGGATAAAGAAATAACAGCCGTGAAAAGGGAAGTTGAGGATTTAAGAGACCAAAACAACGAGAGAGCCAAAGAAATCGAGGATTTGAAAGACCGAAACGACAAGAAGAACAAGGAAATAGAGGATTTGAAGGTTTCATTGGAGACGAAGGGTAAAGAAATAATTGTCCTAACAAGGGAAGTCAGAGATTTGAAAGACCAAAACGAGAAGATAAAGATTTCCTTGGAAGCAAGGGACAAAGAAAGGGATGACCTGAAAGATAAGATCAGAGAGCTTAAAAATGAACTGAAATCTTTCAAGCGTTCGTCGGACGTCTTCCAGAGGGAATGGCAAGATGCGAAGAAAGCACTCGAGAAAAGCGAGGAAAACTATAATAAACTGAAACTAGACGTGGAGAGACTGTCGAAGAAAATTCAGAGAATGACGGAGGAGGACAAACAAAAAGAAGAAGAATACAAGAAATGGAAAAAGGAATTCCAGGAAAATATGCAACCATTGCAGTCTTATGGAAGAAGCCTGTCTTCGCCTGATTCTCTTGATAGCACTTGCATTCTTCTTGGTCAAATGTGCTCGCGAGTGCAAGCGATGATGTACCAGAAAGTACTTCCAGACGGTTATGATGAACATTGTTCTTACAAAGTGAAATTCATCGAAGAAGACATTTCATTAAGAGAGGGAGAAGATCAACATCAGGCGAGTAAGAGATGGGAGGAATTGAAAACGAAACTAAGCTGGAATAACGCCAAACATCCCAGAACAATGAAAGAGATCCAGAACAAAAGAAATGAAACGGCTCATCCCGAGAAGCTAACGAAGGATAAGCTTCTCAAATCTGCAAAAGTGATGCAAGATGCAAAAAAACTGCGCGGCTGGATGTCTTTCAATCATGTTCATGAAATAATACGTATATGGGACCTTCTAGGACAGATGGAGTAGTGCAAACTTCAGGTTTGTGCTCAACATATACACGTATGTACAATTAGAGCAACTTACTGTTTTAATGTTTGGTCCAGCCTGAGCGTTGGACCAGCCGAAATATCTTGTTAGCAACAACTGTGAGAGTGACTGAGTTTCAGTGTTAACACGGCGTTTGAATCTCATCGGTAAAATTCGTTTGAACGGTAGTGTTTAAAATAGTTTTAAAACACATTTACTACACATTATAGTTATAAAATATAACATGAAACAGTTCAATGCTGTTAGTCAAAGTTCTATAGCAGTTGGTGTAAGGTGAGCATCACGCAAAATGTGAGCAATTAACAAACGATCTGTACCAAAATTTATCGCCGAGAACTAACAGGGCATGTGCTGGCTAAACCGAAATCAAAACGAAACACGCTCAAAATTTCATCGAAAGCTCAAAGTTGAATGGTTAACGATGCTGTGGAATTGAACTGTCACAAACATATTTTATTCTTTTTTGTTACAAATTTGGATCTTGTCGCTTAGTAGCCATCTACTGCGAACGTTATTCAACGCACTTTCATTTTACAACTGCTGAGGTCACGGTCTCTCCTCTATTTTCTTCAGGCCGTTACTAACATACTGCAAACTTTGTCTAGCTTTAGCTCGATTCAAAAGAGGAGATTACGTCATATTTTCAGTTAGTTCACCAGAATTTAGAGGAATGATTTTTGGTCAAAACGAAGGAGTTGTATAGCGTCTCCTTCAGGCCGCTATCTCGGTCTTCCTTCTTTCGCTTTATACATATGATCTACTTATTGGCGCTTAGAAGTTAATTTTAGGTAGATACACTCGCTTAAAGAAAATGCGCTGTGGTCACTTTCCTTTTCGAACAATTTATCACTCGAGCTATTTCCGTGATTATTATCCTACTTTTCGTTTTATATTAAAATGTGACAAAATAAGCTATCAGGACTTACTCCAGCTCTTAACTGCGCTTAAACTTTGGTGAAATATTGTGTGCTAATTGATCAGTTGCAGCTATGGCATACAAAATTTTCAACCGACGTTAAGTGGGGAAACAGGGCAATAGATAAATAATTTTTACTAGCTGCGTGATAATATAAACTCGCTGAATCATGATAGAGAATTTCCTAGAAAGACATGGATAATTAACTCCTTTCAGGATGTTGAAGAAGCATCCGGTCGTTCAGATTGTAATTAAGTAAATTAAAATATAGCTCTGATATTAAAACAAGAAGTTTTTAAGATGCATGTAAATTCAACTGCATTCGCAGTCATTGTTGACGACATAGAGCTAAGGTCCAAAAGGAACTGTATGTTACAAGCTTTAACACGTATGGACATCCGAAAATTATCATATTGCAGGTTTCCTTCCCGTAACTTTCACGTGAACGTCGACTTGTATGTGTTGTAAAGCTATTGATCTTAAATTGAAAATTTATGGCACTGAGAATGACAGAATATATTTTTATGATTTAGCTTGATGAAAACAAAATTGCCGAAGAGATTTCAACTTCAATAAATGGCCCAAGCGGCTTGCCGACAATGTGGTAAACTGAAACTGCCACATATCTTTGCGTAAGCCCAGGCCCACACAATGTAACTATTGGGCAACAAATCGTTCGGACATGCCTCGTTCATGTACTTTCCCTTAAAAAAGAGTCACCGTTACGGAATATTGATCCGTTTTTGGGAGTAACTCGTTTTGGATAGTGAAATGGCACAAGCTTTTTTTAATTGTCCAAAATAAGCAAAATCTGATTTTCACTGGTCCTCCCTGTTCTTGATCATTCAATTAAGTATACCAAAAAGGTTACAAGGAATGACAGGAAAGAAAAGAGAGAAAATCAGAGAGCAAGTGTGGAAAATGTGTAAGAGCTTCCCTAGTCGTCAACTTACATACACTCGACATGCGACCAGACACAGCGGAAAGTATCTCTGTTGAGCAGCAATTTGACACCTTTGTTTCATGAGTGAATGCATACGCTTCACGTCCTATTCCCCAAATTACTCGTTGACCGATAAGATCAACACGATGAGCCAGTGGACGAAAAACGTACATACTACTGCCACTAAAATAATTCGGCGATAAAACGCACTGATGATCCATTAGACGAAAAACGTACATACTACTGCCACTAAAATAATTCGGCGATAAAACGCAATGGACCATCAAACTGCCAAAAAGCTATAACTTGTTATCGCTTTTAAACATTTAAAATTCACGACCAAAATACAGTCAAGGCAGATATAATACAATGCTTGAAGAAAAGCGGAAGTCAAAAATGACAATAAAATAAAAACCAAACAACAACGATGAAGGAAGAGGAAATGATTAAATTGACTACAAACTTCTTACACAACATTACTTTATACTCAACAGGGAAGGGCCTTCTAGTGACAAAAAAGTATCTGTAGACTTGTCCTCCATGACCTATACTTTTGAGTTTACTAAGTAAGATCATTCAGCATTTCAACCAAGCAGCGATTTCTCTGCTGAAACACCACGTAAAACAAGAAAATGGAGAGAAAATCATGGAACTCAACAGTTCATTGTTGTACTTTAGTACGGTATTACCACCACCGAAAGTGTGCGTAAGCTCTGTTGTCTTCAGCTCTTTTGTGTAGTTCGTGCTTCCTATTAATGACAGTACCCTGAATACAACAAAAAAATAAACAAATAAATGAGCAAAAATAATACACAAAAATTAATAACATATCAAACTCTCAATTGCATTTATTTGCTAAATGTGTTTTTGCCTGCTATGTAAAAGAACGGTACCGGCGATGAAGATAATAATAATAACAACAATAATAACAGCAATAATAATAATAATAATAATAATAATAATAATAATAATTTAGTAATAATAATGACAGAGACTGAGCTGCACTGGAATATAAAATTTGAATAAAAATATTCCCGTTTCCTTAAACCATCAACTTCCTCGTTCTTGATAATGATTAGGTTTGGGAATTTGGTGTCAAATCTAATAATAGCTCCTGATTAATCTGCAATTTCCACACAGTTTAGCTTTCAAGACGATACAGTAAGGATAAATTAACCTGTTACACGTTGGAGTATAACTATCCACGCAACTACACACTGTAAGAAGTACTATGCATTAAAAATTTCTAAACACAGAATATACACTCAATAAACGCGTTGAAAGGCTTCCCTTATTAAGTACCTTAAGTCCCTTTCCACATCTGTTCTTAATTATCACCGACAATGGTAACATCTTAAGTATGATTTTTGAGAATCTTCACAAAGATGATGTTTAGGTGATTAGCGTTAGTAACACCCCATCAAATATAGATTACAGCCACTTTAACCGCAACTAACTAGCCCTAGTCTTTACTTCAGTGAAGTTATATTAAACCCTGATATCTGTACGTGACTATCCGACCGAAAGACAAACAAAAATACACCCTTACAAACTGCAGCACACTTCCATAAAAACGACTTCCCACCTCCTTATTGTAAGCATCCATTAGCTCCTTGGCAAGTTTCTTGTACATTCGGGCATTGCCTTTTTGCTGTTCCCGAGCAGCTTTGATGAGCCATTTAATGGCCAAAAATCGACGGCGCCGTTGGTTGATTGCGCTTGGCACCTGAAAATTACAGACATGTGAGTAAAACTCTTGTCAAAGTATGTATGAAATACAAAAGGATAGATGCTGATGATAAGAAACCCTACAAGAACAAGTAGTACTAAATTAAGACAACAGAGTAAAGAATACATGCTGTTCTGCATGACTATGCCAAACCAAACCGCTGTATTGAATAATTAGTATGCCAGACTCTATTGGGAGGGTCAGGGTTAAGAGTTTATTGTCAGATGCTTCTGGAGAAGGACTTTGAAACCAACACATGGTTGAGAAACGAAAAGTACTGAAAAAATCCTCAATAGCGAAAAAATTCAAGGTTTTGTGACACAAACTCTAAGAACAGGAGTAACAACATCCTCTGGCGCACACAATTGCCAGTTATCTTTCCACTCTGGTCCTTTTATAATTTTGTGAGCATTGGTTGGCTTTTGAACTTTACTTGAAGGAATTGTATCAGAAGACTTTGAATTTACATTCATCAAAAAATTGACCGAGTGTATACCAGCATGTAAGATGTACATGTAAACATGAAACTAGATGATTGGTCACCATTACATATACATTGTTTAAAACCCAATGTTACAATTTCATGTTGTCATGGCAGTAAATAATTGGTGCTAACTGGAAAATGAACTTCTGTCTGCTTCAAAAAAACTTGAGTTGTTATCTATGGCCCCTACCTGGTACACAGTACCTGCCCTCTTCATGCCTACCACTCCTATGACTGGCTTGCAATTCTCAATTGCAGTAGCAAAAATTTGTAAAGGATCCGTCTCTACTGAGTCAGGTTGGGATGATTGTCTTTGCCTAGGTTAAAAAAAATACGAAAAAGCAACTTGCTGCCTTTATTTCATTCAAGCATCTGGTCAAGATGAGATCATGCACACACTATTACACACACTTTTCTCCTCCAAGCCACAGGAAATGTATCTGAGAAAATGTAGTGGAATAGTGAATGATGATGTGGAAACCAGAAATCATACGACTGAATTGATACCCTGCAAATGTGAGAAAAACAAGTCATTGTAGGTTACCACATTTCAGTTACAATATGCAAGTCACTTTTTCATCTTAAGCAAGGTATTGAGTATGAGCTATTGTAAAAACTATGACTACTTTGGTTGGTTTCTGACAAGTAATTTTGCAAACTGACCAGTTAGTAAAGTTCAGGACTCCTCAAAGTGACTAGTGTTGATGTTTGCAGTCCACTGTTCTAATCAAGGTAACGTTTACTGGTTTTTTCCTTGAAACAAAAAAGGACTTTCCAAATATATTCTGATGATCACAGTTTTTTGAGTTTAATAACATCAAACAATTGTATGTAAGTGTTCTCTTTTCAGGGAGATAGCATAAAACACATCAGTTGGATGTCTACAGGTACTTAATGGATCAGAAAAAAAGCGAATTTTTAATAACATATCGACTGATGCAAATGTAAGGAAGTATTGCAAAAAATATCATGATGAAGTAACAGTTGAAATGTTACTCCTGCAAAAATAAGTAGAAAAGAAACTCACTTCTTCAATTGTTCCTTCTTAATCTCTTCCATTGCCTGAAATAAAATAAAAGTAGAATGGTTATAAAAATATCCAGCATACAAGCTACTGATTCTTTAAAACAATCAACTCCTCTAAACCTGCTGTGATCTATTTTAGCAACCATCATTAAGCCTTCAGAAAATAAATGATCATACAAATAAGTTTGAAAACTTCCAATTGGCTAATGTTGCATTTATCAGTTCATTCCAGTTTCTTTTTTGGAGTTCCAAAATGGTTTTAGCTTATATTCTTAACAAAAAGTGTAATCTTCTGAACCATTCATAACATATTCTGGCAAACTTTGGGAGAAAAAGGTACCACTTTACAATTTTTTATGGGCATGTGGTTATTTCATGTATAAACTAACCTGCTCAACTTACCAGTTTAAAGATTTTCTGTGATAAAGACTTTTTACCACCCCACATCATGCAATTCACGAATTTGCTGAAATTTGGTTTAAAAGTGTGAGTGAAAACTAGGAGACAAGTGCTTTTAAGAAAATCAGTCTGAATTGTCAAGTCAGATCAGTTGTTTTTCTAAGTTTTATACATTGTAAAGAAAATGGGGGGAAAATAAATAAATTTAGAAAAAACAAATTTAATGTCATTTTCAATTAATTCGTCTACAGAGTTCTGGGTTCACACTCCAAGGAATGATACCAACTCTCTAGAGCACTGCCCTATCCCTCATTTCTCAGAAGCAAAGAATGGTTTCTAAACAAAATGATACAGGTGTGGTCATATCCAACCTTGAACTTTTGAGGTGACAGTACAAAATTAATGTACTTTAGAAAAGTAAGTTAAGACAATACAGTCCAAACCTACAATCTCCTACAAGGAATTAACACATTTACAATGTACATATGAATTCTTACATCATCACCATTACAGTAAACAAGCAAATGGGTGAGAGAAAAGAAAATTGTAAATTAGACATAAGTGTAATTTTGATTTAGAAAAAAATTCCTCTCAGAAAATTTGAAAGGAAATTTTTAGAAACTTCAAATGATGATTACTTGGCAGATTTTGAGAATAAATAAGTAATGTACTATACTTACTTGACAAGTTCATCATCTAACATTGAGGAGGTCATATGAGAATCTGCAGCTTTGGGAATTTCAACCTTTTCATCAGTATCAAATATATTTCTGCAGATTTTAACACAGAATCAGTAAATTAAAAAGAAATAACTTGAAGGTACCATATTGCTTCTTTTTGGAAAGGGGAAATGAGCAATGATATTAGTTTAAAGCTTACATCTGCTTCAGAAGTTCATTCTGACTCAGTGATGATGTCGAATCTGTGTCATCAGCATCTTTTTCCGTTGGACTTGTTCTGCCTTTGTCTTTATCTATGAAGTCTCTGTTGATGTACGACAAAAAACACACTAATTTATCATCATGTTAATGAAATATAAAATAATTTGGTTTGAAAGTACATGTAAGAACATAATTTGGTACACTCTAAAAGTCTGGAAACAATTCACTTAAGGTCAAATATTGATTAGGGGTGCATTGAAGACAACATGACTGTAAGAAATACATGTATGAAGGTTACAAACACTTACAACACATTTTCTTGGAATCAAAAATGTTTTGTAGCATGTGTGGTGAAGAAAATTTAAGAACTTGGATGCTGTTATCAGGGTCTTTATGAATTACATGAAGTAGCAAGAGAATTAAGTAATAAACCAAGGAAACGTTGCTCAAATTATTTATAGGCAGATGTGTGAACTTAACAAGTGGGTTAACCAATACAATTTACTGCATGTAGCCCCCAGAAGGGGGGATCCGAAGCCATGCTTCCCAAGCAAATTTTGAAAACCCATGTTTTCCTTGATTTTGGAGGGTAACCTCAGAGTCATTTGTGATATTCTCTTCCACAAAAATTCTTGTACATATGTCTGTCACTCAATACAATTTAAATAAATAACTGAGTATCATTATTCCACTAGTTTGCTTGTCTATTTAAGATAAATCCACCCCTACTCCCTCTCCCCTCCACAACTTCTGACATTTCCTAGAGTGTTTGTAGATAACAAATCATATTCCTGGGATCACAGAGGGACTGTGAGAGGATATAAATCAACCCCCCATCCCTCTGCAATTTCCAAAGATTTCCTGACCATCTGAGTACATTATATATCCACTGACACACCTGAGCTGAGAGAGGCACCCTGAAACAATAGAGTGTGGCCTAAAAAAATGACGAAATGAGCTGGCTGAGGCTCAGATCCAAACCTATTACCTGAAATCCATTGAATCAACCACTATCCCATTGAAATTTTCACGTAAATAAATAAATGAGTAAATAAGTAAATTTCAAGTGGCTAAATTGTGCACGCATTGTGATAGATTCTTAACCATGATCTATAGCCAGAGGACAAATACATACATTAACATTAACAAATTTTTTTGCTCTCTTTAGCATCGTAAACAAATAGATTCCATGCTGCCATGGATCTACTCTGCAATGTACCACTTTATTGATCTTACCATATTTTGACTTCAACTGTAATCTGTTACTCAGCAGATGCAGGGTAACAAGGAATCTAATTGTTAAATAGCTGATTTAACAAATAGATAGATCAATAATATGAGTAGATACTAAAGAATATAACATCATGTCTCTCAAAACCTTAAGCTTTCCACTGGCATGACTAATATAACAAAGACAAACAAAACTGTGTTCAGCACTTACAACGCTGATTGAGATGAGCACATTGACCTTGCAATATTCGTCCTGTAGCAACTTTGTATTCTGAAAATAAAAAAACAAAATGCTTATGAACAAAAAAAAAAAAGGAGCTAATTAAAATTGTTCAGACATGGCTTAAGGAATTAACTCTTTGACCTTTATGAGTGACTAACATCTAATTTCTCCTTACCAAATCATCTCCGAATCACACGTTGTGGTTATAAGAATGAAGCACTAATCAACAACTAAAGAAGCTCTACATTGTTTCACAAATTATTCACGTCAGAAGCTTAAATGATGTGTAGAGAACACTATGGAGAATATGCATACTGATGTTGGTGAAAAGAGTTGATAATGAGGTGATCACTTTCGTTGGATCGAGGACTGCATGTTGCATGCGATGTACATCTGCAAAACCTGTACAAATCGCTCCACGAATGAATAGCATTTCTGAAACACAAACGTTTTACCTTGGGGGTTGGCGACTAAATAAAACTCTTGCATCACTGAAATTCCGAGTAAAAACCCCAAGAAACTTGTTACTTCTTCGCGAACATGAAAGACAATTAAGTAACACCAATGCCCTTGTGGCCGCCATGTTGGATTTTGAGAAACTGAAAAGGACTTGGTAACGAGTATCTCCAACACGAGGACTCATGGGAAGAAAATGACTCGTTCCCAGTTGCTTTACATGGAATTAGACACACGGTCAACACGAGAAGGTAGGCAAGGAAGGTGCAACAAACTGCTGGGAACAAATACACTGAAACACTCCATCTGAGCCGTGTATCTGGACTGTCATCTCAATCTTGCCCTGTTTATTACTAATAGGCAACTGTTCAGGTGAAATTCTTTTCCACCCTGGTACTTTCAGGTGCTTCTTTATTACTCAAGACTGTCCTCATTAGCTTGCTCGCGTAGAACTGTGTATCATTGAGAAAATAACCATACAATTGCATAGTTTGTTTGCACATTTATCGCGAAACTAAGGAAACGATACAAGATACAAATGGATAATCTAAAGATTGAGAATTTTTTCCGAGCAATTGTCGCTCGTCAAATATTGCGCACTCTATTTGTGGAGAAAAACAGACCATAGTAAAATGCATTCGGTGCTACCTGACAAAAAGTAGGCATATAGACAGGGCGTGGGTGGGAGGGTGAGTAATTCACACCAGAGTTTCTTTAGGTAAGGGTGAAGCTTTGGAAAGCTTTCCTAGATTGACCTTGACTTCATCCTTGTCCATTTTCTTGAAGTAGAATCCAGTGTGTTCCCAGATGTCACAAAGACGCAAGAAAGGCCCCTCCCCATCCCCTTCATAGCCCAAGATTGTCCGGAACCAAGATGAACCCTGCCTTTTTTCCTTTGTTTTCTGTTTTTTTGTATATGTTTGTCGTTTTTTTCCTATCAACTTTTGTTCTAGTTCTTTTTATTTTGCTTTTTGTTTTTATCTTGTTTAATTGGGTTTTTCTTTCGTTCCTTTCTTTCTTTTGATTTTCTATTGATTATGTTCAGCCATAATTTCATCATATTGTGGGTACAGATATCTACGACCGTATCTAACTAGATAATAACACTTTACAGTATACAGCAGCTACAATACTGAATGAGAGTGCACCATACTCAGTAAAGCCCCTGAGTGCTTTTATTAACTGCGTAAACTAAACGTCCACCATGGGTGGTCAGTATTTATAACAAATGAGCAAATCCAACTATTTATGCTAGAATAAGTGTTTAGAGCTAAGAGGAGCGCAGAGGAAAGTTAGTGTCTATCCAAAGACAATTTAAAAGAAAGAGAAAGCCGCGGGTAAATACAATCATAGCGAGTAAAAACTTCATGTTGTTGAGATTATTCAGTCAAGACGATCTTGTTGAGATCGTAACAAGTAATCAGACTACAAATAAAGCCGTAGTTAAGACATCAGATAGATCGCACATAAACAAACAAAACAAAATGTTAATCATCGATAGTTACACAAAACTGCGAAATAAATTGTCAAAAAAAATTGACATTTTAACAAACTTTGTGCTGCTTAAAATTAGTCTGCTTTTTCCTCAATTTAATATCAAGATGTGATCCTTGGGCAAAAAACGACAATAGAGAGAAAAGAAAACTGTACAACTGTTCGTGCTCCACCCTAACTTTCAACCTTCTCTCACGTGATTTAGTGGTCAGAGAGGGCTATTGAACATACTATTAGGTTCTATTTTTGCTGATATTTAATACCTCTTAGAATGAAGCTAAAAGTTGAAAGAGCCCCTTTAAACATAGACGAAAACACAAAATTATGTGTTCATATAAATATGCGAAATAGGGGTTTAGTTGTTGATACGAAAATCTCTGCTCGCTAAAATTGTCACTAAGATAAAATAGTGATGCGAAAGAGATCAGCAAACTGAAAACATAATTGTGTTTTCGGCACTGACATTATATCACATGACACTAACGTGATCAGTCAGGCCTTTAGACCACAATCACGGGTTATGCATGTGTTCATGTGGTCCTTCACAGTCATTATCAGTCAGTCACCACTCACTCATGTATTTCTTCCAAATGATTGCCGTGGCAACCACCACACCAACCTGTGAGGACGGGAAAAAAGGTTTGAAAATTACTAGTTTGAGAAAGATGTCATGAACAAAAATTGTAACATGACAACTTCTATCCCTTTCTGCTAGTCACGACAGTATAAGAAACAGTTCAACAGAAATGAATTCGTTAGGTGACACTAAAATCCCCTGCACCTTCATAAAAATTCCCTTTCTCGCATTTTTTTAATGGACAAAAAAAAGATAGTCAAAATAAAATCAACCCTCTAGTTACAAACTTAAGGTTTACGATTTCGTTTCGTTCGTCTCCGTAGACTAAACGAAGTCCATCTCCGCCAGCGCATTCAACGAAATCGGTGAGAAAAAGTGGCGCGCCACGTGAAATGAACATTGTTCTTGCTGTTTATTGAGAAAATTGTACGTAAACAACCTTTACAGTACACACCTCAACAAACAAGATAAAGATTCCCATTATCTTGACTACCAATAGACGTTTTCCTACAGAGCCCTTTACCACCTCTAAACATCCCTACAAAAGAAAAAAAACACAGTTAAAAGAAAACAGCTCAACACTCGCAATTTTCAGTACATTGAGTTCAGGGTTTTTCTTTCCTTAAAACTTCAGACCAAAGAGCAAAAAAAACAAACAAACAAACAAAAAAAGACGAGTTAAAAAAGGGGTCCAGGTACATAAGGGAATTTTCTGTTGAAATCCAGTTAAAAAGAGAAAAACAATCCTTGGACTCGTCAATTCTACGGCGATAATTACACAACTATCAACAAAACAAAACTCACCCTGCGGTTGATATCGTCAGTTTCAAACTTAAAGCCACACCCAAACTCATTTGTTTTACAGCAGGTGTCTGGTACTGCGAAGATTCTACGTCCTCCAAACTTTGTATTTCTCCAGTCAGTATAATAATTCACTCCACAACAATCCTCCTGTACATACACAAAAACGTATGTCAGAATTACTGTTGGGGTTTCTAAGAACAGGATAATTAAGAAAAAATTTCATTGTTTTTTACTACGGTATCATTCAAGATACCGTGCGCTTTAACTGCAAACCTCTGCATGAGCTTGATTTCCGCCTCTCTTTTTCTCAAGTCCAGTCTTCCCGCCCGAGATGAGGAGGAAGGACGAGCGTGGGCTCATTTCCTGACCAGCGGCTGGTTATAACTTTATACTTCATTCATGTAGTTAATTGGTAAAGAAAAACAATGGTGAAACCAGCATGGGGTTATATGAAAATCTTTCACTTTGCTCTATCACACATAATACTTACTTCACTTTGTAGCGTGTTGATATTCATTGTCTCTTCTCTTTTTCTTCCTAAACCATAGTCCTGAATATTGATCTTCATATCATTTTCCATGTCATCAAGCTAGAACAAAATCAAAACTAAATTGCACCGCTAGGATTCAACCAAATTGCAAAAATTTCATTGTGAATGGAAGTAGATTCATTGATATCTACTATTGGGTCTTAATAGCCACACTGTGTAAAGTGGATGTCTTTCATGAAAATGAGAAACAATTTTTTCAAATTTTTTTTAACTAAACTCTTTACATGCAGTGATGATTGCCTTCACTGGATAGTGAAGTATTACTGGTTGTTAGCATGAAAGTTAATACCCTAAATCATGGATGAGGGGATCTGAGTCAAAGCCCTATTAGGATCACTTTGTTGTTCTTTTAGGCAACATATTATGATACAAGACTGCTTTTTTTTCCAGTCAGGAGTATTATTGAAGGAAATTTTTGCAGATGCTCCCAATTTCAGATTCAAGGGAAGACCACAACACCAAGAGCTACATTTGTTCCCTACTCTTTATGATAACTGTGTATGTTCTTTTATGTCCCACAATCAGTTATCTGAAGCAGTAGAGCAGACTTCATGCCAGAACATGAAGTCTAAAGATGCTATATGGCAAATTATTACATGTGTTAGTGAACAACACAATCAGGTTTCAATTTAGGACATCTACTGTTCCTCACCTCTAAAGTAAAACTTGTGATGACTGCAACCAAAGTGAAAATGGTGGCCAAAGCAAGAATTATGATGTACTATAAGAAAATATTGAAGAAAATGGGAATTTTAATCATTCAAGTTAATAATTCAACTAAGGTCATTGCTCAAGCTTAAGAGTCTTGTGTATTGCTTAAGATGTTACCTCACCAAAAGCAGGACCTGTCCACCACTATGAAGGCTATGGCCTTCAATCAGGTTGTAGAAAGGATTCTTGAGGGTTGATGAAGGAGAGCTTTGGGAAAAGTCCTCCACAGTAAGAATCACTTTTAATAAACTTTGTTTAGAAGGTCTTTCAATCCTTCTGTCTTTCTCTTTCCTTTTTTCTTCTTTTTTTTATTTTATGAGAATTACATGCATTTTTCATTTTTATTCTTGTTATTAATGCAGCTTTGCAAACACCTGATATTACTTTACCCTAAAATTATAACTATTACATAAATTATTAAGCCTCATCTGGACTGCTAACTCATCATTAATGTTGTTGAGGAAGAAAAAAATCTCACCACTAGGGAACATTTCTTCACAAGAGGAGAATCTGCTCTTTTAATCACTATGAAACTGGCTATGCTGGCCACTGAAATGCACACTCCAGCCCCCAAACACCACTCAAATGGCCTCTTATTCTCTCCTCTGGTCACTTTGAAATGATAGTTTTTCCATCCAAGCACTATGCCACTGGTCAAAAGCATGATAAAGCCTACAACCTATGATCAGAAAAAAAAATTAAATTACCTATTAATACCTATAATTGAACATAAATCATTATTAGAAATTATTTGGATTTGAATTCACTATAATTTCAAAATTTAAATACAATTCTGGTAGATAAATATGAGTTCCAACAACAATCTTTATGCATGCAAGTGAAGCATATCTGGATTGACCAGTTTATGGTGCATAAGTTTCATGTTTTTTGAAAATCAAATGTTTTTTAATTGATCAGAGTTAAATTACAGAAAAGTTCAGAAAGCTGTTCATGAAGGCTGCTTTAATTATAATAATATCATTCAGTATAATTGCTGCCATGATTAGAGAGACAGGTGCCTTCGAATTTTGTTGAGAATTGCACCATATCTCACAATGATCACCTTGCACTAGGTGATTATAGCAGGGATGCAAAATTTCAAAATTGCTGACTTGCGTTATGTCAATGTTACACAGGAAGTGATAAATGTGATTATAGAAAAAAATTCAATACAAAAAAGCACAAAAGATGCTCCTACATTTGGGGTACTACTTTTTAAAAGAAAGATTTGAAGTTTTAGCTGATTGAATTGAGTAAACCCATCACATTCTAGTGGAAACTGGCTGTTCATCTTGATACAAGTAATCAAAACAATTGTGACAGAATGGTGTTAAAGTCAAAACAAATTAATCACAGAATTTCAATTTAAGCACCTGAGCAACTATACTGAAACAATTATTTACCATTAGCAAACAATAGTCAATTAACAGCATACAGCATAGCAATCATAGCATCTAAAACACTGATAATCTAAAAATGAAGTTATATGAGAGGTACTGATGCATAAATTTATCAGTATATGATGAAAAGTGAACCAAAAAACCTGTGTGGTTTAAGAGTTGAACCCTTACAGAATCAATAAGACAGTGAAAAATTACAGATGTCATCAGACTAAGGAGACAAGCAATCCTCTTCACCTACCTAAGTGGTTTGCAATTTTTGTTTAAAGCTAGTTGTCAACTGAAAACAATCAAACATACTCTTTTGAATCACCAACATGTAATTACCGTTACGTAATTACCAATCAAGTGCAGTGGTTGATGGTCAAGAGCATTGTATATACCATACAGATAAAAAATAAAAATAATTACTCACTATCATACCACCAACCATCCCTGGAAATACTTTAGTAGTGTAAAACCTTTTTTTCTCATCACCAGGTGGAATCAAACGTGCCATGATTTGATCTCGGGCATGTATTCTAGAGAGAATGATTGAAAAGTAGATCAAATACTCATTTAGAATAAAATCAATTACACTATAAAGCACATTTTGATTGGGTGCTATAAAACCAAAACCAAAACCAAAACCAAATTTGTAATGAGAAATTCTGTCTTGGTCACCCTGGGAATCAAAGGGTTATACAAATCCATAACACAGGCAGATGGAGAGAAGTTAAAATTGTGAACTTGGAAATCATAATTTAGATATGATACCAAATTCTCAGGTCTACTTAACAAACAAAAATTAATGTATGATGACTTACAAATTTTAGGTATCAAACTATAACTGAGACAAGACATTACATGTTAACATGCAGTTTCAAGTCTTGCAAAACATAATTTTGCACTTGACTGGTTGCGAATGAAGTATAAGTTTTTAAAGCTCAATAAAAGTAAAATTCACAATCGTCATTGTGTTACACTTCATCCTAAAGATCTTAGCCATACCTTTACGTCTCGCTGAAAGTTTGCTCTTGTATTGAATATTGGCTTCATAAAACTGGTAACCAGTCTCTCGCCTCGTTCGGAACGTAAAAAAACAAGGAAAAGCTAGCAAAAATCAGAAGTAAATAAAATGCAAATTAAGGGTTGTCTTTGGATTGATAGTATGGGAAAGGTAAACGCGTTGCATATCCTTGATTTTATAGTTAAGTGTGAGTTTAGATAATTTAGATACAGGAAAATTCGTACCTGTACAAGTTCCGAGAAACCGTTTCAAAGTCCTTTACCAGTATATTGCTCGACCGAAATATCACGGACTTCGTCGAACAAGAAACATCTTTTGAAAACTCCAGAAGTTTAGTTCAGCAGAAGATAAGGTCGACAGTAATCGTGCAAATTACAAAGCCCTTAATCACAATTTATGCTGTGTATCAAATATCTATCCACCTATCGAAGAGCACGCGATGTCGAACAATAAACGATGTGTCGAGCCCTGTCTATAACACTTTCAAGTCAAAGTGTGTATGTGTGTGCCTACCTGAAAATCTGTGATCGAACTCGCCCTAGATCAAATGTGGTTGGCTACTCTCCTTGTTTTCATGAAGCGAGAAACATTTCTCAGATGGTTTTCGTCACGCCTTTCAGATAAGAAGCTGCATAAATTTATTCAGGAAAACGTTGTTTTCTTTTCTTTGTCGCACCCTATGGCCGAGCTAGAACGCGCGAAACCTAAGAACGAGTAGTTTGAAATTGCTAACCAGGTCCCTCGACACTTGTCGCAGGAAAGTTATCAGCTATGAAAATAATTAAAAAAGGAAAATTTATATTCCGTTATAAGTTGCTTACCTGATTCCTGAGGGTCCCCAATAGATTTTTGGGATTGCGGGATTGTTATTATGAACGAGACACGGGAAACGGCGAAAAAGCCGAGAACCGGGAAGTCCGTTGACAAGAGTTTAAAAAGAGTTTATCAACGCTAAAGACCGAAAAAAGCCCAGCCTTCCGCGCAGCCGTTTTCTAGGAAATCCCGTTTCACTTCTCCCTGCAAAACGCGAAAGTAGCACGCAATTTCTCTTGAAACGCCAGCGTGGAAGGCTCAGAGAAAGCCGCACAAAGGTGTGTTATGACAGTCTTATCTGCGCACGTGCTGGGCACACTGCCTTTGGGCTTCGCTGTTGTTTTCATAACCCACTGGTTATGTCTAGACATAGAACCTCGCCCTATTCCGAAATAGTGACCTTTGAGTTTTGGGTGACTGACAAATTTATAAATCGGGAAAAATAGCAGTACGTTCCTCTGTACGGATGTCAGCTACTATCGAAAGCGATGAATCGAATCCAGTTTGACATAATGGCATGATAGTATGGGAAAAAAATAAACGCGTTGCATACCCTTGATTTTATAGTTAAGTGTGAGTTTAGATAATGTAAATACAGGAAAATTCGTACTCGCACAAGTTCCGAGCAACCGTTTCAAAGTCCTTTATCAGTATATTGCATGACTGAAATATCACGGACTTCGTTGAACAAGAAACATCTTTTGAAAACTCTAGAAGTTTAGTTCAGCAGAAGAGAAGGTCGGCAGTAATCGCACAAATTACAAAGAAAATGAGCGGGAAAATGAGACGTGGCTTCTGTCTCTTTGTTTAACTATAGATTGTTGTTTTATCAGAGTTTTATGGCAGAGCCCCTGTCTCATTATTAGAGAACAAAGGAAATCAAGGAAAAATGTATTCGTTGTTTCTAGTACTTACGCAAATGATTCGTTGCTCACGCGGCTGGCTATCAATTAACCGTGACGGCAGAAAAGGGTTTTGACAATGTTCAAATTGAAATGGTAATCAACCGAATGCATGTACTTAAAAGGCAAAATTTACGTGTGGTTTCATTTTACAAAAATTAGGAAAAAGATTAACACTCATATTTTTCGAGCCTAAAAATCATGGTTATGATTCTACGGGTGACAACAACGTACGTTCTGGTATTCTGGCACCATATATAACTTAGATTCTTGTTCCTTTCAATCATAACTGCGTTGGGAGCGAACAATTCAATGCTTTCGTAAAACAGCATACATCTGTGTAAGGAACACATTTGGTTGGTGCAAAACTCGTATCGCATATCAAACGTGAGCGTAATGATTGTCCTTAGCGATTTTAAAAAGACTAATGCTCCCTGATTATGTCTTCTTCACTGGTTTATTGGTTTAATACAAAACAATTTTCTATTGGAAAAAATGACTGTCAGTCTTAAATTTTTGGAGAGAAAATCCAGCTCTGCTCCTCTGATTTGAAGTAATTATGCCTACACATCAGATGCCAAATTGTTAAAGCGATAACTAGAGGATGACGGTATCCTGCTTAAGTTAGTTTTACGCGTCTTTTAAAGACCTGATCTTCAGTTTTTGAATAATACTTAAAAAAGATATAGAAGATGACTTGAGAGAGAAATCCGAACCTCTCATTCTCATGACACCTAGTTTCCGAAATCCTTTCCATTCCTTTCCTTCTAGTCTTGTCCTACAAAAGTACCACTCCCTAAAAGATAATACAAAAAAAGCTCTAAACTTGGAAAAAACTGTTTTCAAATATTCTCCCCTGACTTTAGTTTCATTCAGTTCTTGTTGATTAAGCATATATATATATATATATATTTGCGACCCAATTATGGCCAAGGCCAATCCTCATTCACAAGACAGCCATTCTTTTCGTAGTGCTCTAACAAGCTTTTCCACGCTGAATCCAATGCCAGAAGATACCTGTTTCCTAGAGGAAGTAAGATGAGGCTTGGTTATTCAAACAATACAATGATGGTGCCCTATCCGACAATCGTGGTGCTTTATTTGTAAGCTTTATAAACTTCTTTGTTTACCTCCACAACTTCCACTAAGAAGGAATGAAAAAGTTACTAAAAGTTAGATCCAACTAAGGGGATTTAGAGGATGAGATGAAATTGCGGCTCTGATCGCAGAGTCTGGTAAACCATAACCAACGACATCTTAGAATGCTTTAAAAACTCTATCTCAACCTTCTCCGACAAGACTTGAACTGCATATCTTACCTATAATGCAAAGTCCTCTGCGTGCTCGAGTGAGTCCCACGTTCATTTGATGCTCATCAGTCAAGAACCCCAGATGTTCACGAAGCCAAGAAGGGGAAGGCTCAGGATCTATTTCGTCACGGTTCACGGACCGAACCAACGATATTATGACGTAATCCCATTCACTCCCTAAAATTTGAGAGAAAAAGGCCGACGTCAAATGTCAAAGTTCAACACTTTACCAGAGCTGCGCCTTCTTCCAACGCGCGCGATTTTTTTCGATTTCAGATCTCCCTATTTTTTTCAAAGAGCTATGTAAGTTTATATTGAACAGTTAAGGTACGTCACGAATAATATTAATGATAAGGATTCGTTTACTGTATATAAATACTGTATTTTATTCCCAAGAGTTACTTGTTACTGCCTTACCTTGACTTTTAGTGATTGTTGTAACTTTGATATCCTCATATGCTCCCTTTAAGAGCTCAGTGATTTTGCTTCGCTGTTCTCTGTAAGGAGACAGGATGACCACATCTGACTTCCGCACATGGGCCACATAACGGTTAACAAGATGCTTTGCTATTTGAACCTGTTCGTGAGGAAAGAGGAGGAAGTGAGAGAAGATGACTTTATAGCCGCGTAAAGCTTCAGTGTAGCAAAGAGTACTCTGGTATAAAGTTCCCAATCGAACGATGAAGGGCTAAGGATCATTTGGCGACTATCCTTTGACAGTTAAAATATACATCAAGTGAACATACAGAAAAAAAAATGTATTTCTGATGTGAGGTTTTAGGAGGAACTTTTTTAGTCTGGACCAGCTATTGTCTCCAGAATAAACATGCCTTCCAGATAGAGGTGACTCCGGCATAGAAGGAGTTCCACTGCACTTTAAAAGAACTGGAACAAAAAAAGTCGCAGATCAACCACATCATTGGCTATAAGAAATCTGGTAGTGATTTAAACTTATTTTAGCCATAATACATTAAATGTCTTCTGTATGATGATAAATCTTAGGTTAGGCTTGGAAAATACTCACGTTACTTTGCAATCACACATATGAACTAAGAGAACATGAGCTGCCAATGATCAGATCGTGTTCTTTTGTTTGAAAGAAATTTGATATACCTACTTCCTTAATCTTCCCAACTTTCTCAAATTTGGTGAGAATTTACTTACTGCCTTATAAACTTCTTTCATGTTTCTTTTGGACTCCTCGTTGCTCTCTGAGGTTGCTATGGGAGCAGACTCTTCTTGCCCTTCAACGTGACAGAAGACAATTGGTAGTTTCCTCTGGCGGCGCACTTGTGCAGGCCAAAAGGAAACGGGACTAGGAGCACGTGACTTCACCACGTCAGCTGTGCGTAGCTTTTTATTATAAAATTGTACTGATGGAAATTCACAAATTCCATCATGCTAAAAATAGGAACAGACTGGTTAAAAAGATGTCTTTGTAGAGAGAGAAAAAGAAGTTAAATTGCATTGTTTGCCTGGTGTGTGTAATACAGCGAAAGTGTCCTGGTAGACTCAAGGAGGGAGAGTAAAGTAACTTAACTGTAAAAAAATTCATGCTACAAGTTTTTAAAGGTAAGGGAGAGAGAAAAACACTAAAACACTCGCTAAGGTTAAATCTAGAAAGACAAATAAACTGGGAACAATTAAAGAGTTGCGAAGTCCATGCTGCGGAGATCAATATTTAGGTACTTGCACTGATACCTTGTCAAGCGCCAGAACAATTATATTAATCCCAGAGATAAGTGAGTTTTCTGAAACAATCTTTCAGAAAAATAAGTGTTTTACAGTTAGACTATTGAACCTGTGCCTCAGAGGCTAACGAAGGCAATCAAAGTACCATTTCTTAGAATGGTAGAATCTATGACTGCCCTAGCTAAAATATCTCACCATTCTGTACTGAAGTTCCAGCATTGTAGCTCGTTTAGAGTGCCTCTCAAACATTGACACACTCAAGCCAAGTGTCTTTGCGACGTGGTCTTGTATTACAGGCTGCAGTTGTTTGTGATCACCAATCAAAACCACTTGTTTTGCTCCAGAGCACGTAATGGGCACGAGTGATTCAGGCTCCATGCACATGCCACATTCATCGACAATGCATTGCTGGATGTTGTCGCAAGAAGAGACCATCCTAGGACTTCCCGAAGCTGCGCAAGTACAAAGAATGATTTGAACTCCAGACTTTTGAAGAGCCCACTCTTCAGCCAGTCCAATGGTCTTGGGGAAAACATGTAAAAAAGGCCATCATTTATATCAAGTGATAAACGTATTTGGCTCGACACGAAAAGTTGTAAGGAGATTTACTAAAACTTTTTTTTCGGGAAATTTTCTGTGGATTTGAACGGAAAACGAAGTTTTTGATTTATGAAAACAAGTCTTGGTTATTTTGAATGTCTCTTTGAAAGAGCTATACAAGAGGAATCTCACTGTTATTCTATATAACCTTCATTAAGCAGTGCCTTAGTTTATCAATGTAATCACGAGAACTCAATCATTCCTATGGTAGAGAATTCCCACCAATTACCAGCCTTCCCATCGGTTTAATATCTGGCACGTACTTATGCGCTAAAA